TGGTGGAGCTAAGCTGGCCGAGTCCTCAGGGAATGGAGGTATGGTGAGAGTAGGGGCACCTGCAAACAGGATGATACAGGGCTAGGGGTGAGATAAGAGAGACTGCAATGGAGGGGAGGAAGGATAGTAAAAATTACCTGTCTGAGTCCCAGCCCAGTGTGGCTACTGGGTCCATGTTCTTACCATGACCTTCCAATCTGCCGATTCATCAGCTGACATCCATCTCCTAAAGACCTCTGCAAAGCTGTTCCTTCCCACTCCTTACATCTTGGCTGGAATGTTGGGCTTCAAACAGGCCTCCCAGACCTACCTCCTTAGCTACAATGGAATCCTCACATGCCAACAATTCTACGTCCCATCAGTACTGGAATATGTGGTTTTTCTCACTATGAAAGGGCCAGCAAGATGGCTCAGTAGGTAAACACACTTGCTACCAAGCCTGAGAACCCAAGTTTGATCCCTGGGACCCACATGGTGGGAGGACAGAACTCACTCTCACATGTTGTCTGCATGTGCACCATGGCACATGGACCCATACACATACATACACAGACAAATGTTAAAAATGTTGGGAATTGAACTCAGGACCTCTGGAAGAGCAGTCAGTGCTCTTAACCTCTGAGCCTGGCCTGCAGTCATACATGCTGTATACATAATAAATAAATAAATCTTTAAAAAAATGTTTTAAAATATAATAATCAGACTTATCTCTTCATTGTTTTATTCACTTGAATGAGTGATAGGATTTTGGTTTTCTTATTTAACTCATCCCCCAGCTTTAACACTCAAAACCATGCCTGACACATCCAAAATAAATATTTATTTAATCCAAGGATAGGCATATACATTGATTTTTTTATTTATCCAATCATTCATTTAACAAAAATTTATTGATTTCCCTTTGTGTGCTAGGCAGGGATGAAGTAAGATTCCTACTTCTGGGAAACTTAGAGTCTAGCAGAATGAGCCAAATAATGCTATTTTATCCAAAGTAGTAAAACCTAACAGATGCTATGAGGGAAAATGTGGAACAGAGAAACAGAGTGCAGGGCAGGCAGCTGGGGAGGGAAGGTGAAGGGGCCAGATGGTTTCTGTGATACAGAAGGTGACATAGCTCGCTTAGTCAGAAAGGGGGTGCTGCAAGAAGGTTTACAGCAACCACAGCAGTCATTTCTCCAAATGAAGGGCCGGGTTTCTGATGCCATAGTGGTGAGGATTACAAATATTTTCCTCCACTGACTTAAAGATACAAAAGGCAAGAAAATCAAGGTCTAAGCACTCAGCCAAGTTTAATTGAAATTACACACACACACACACACACACACACACACACACACACACCCCAAAGAAAAGGAGGTGCTTATAATAAAGGCCTGTCGTTAGCATTAACAAACATTAACGTTAACAGTTCTGTAGCAGTATTTACAGTACTCTAATGATGTTTGACTCCTGCCCCAGTGCCCCAGAGAGAGATGGATTCCTCTCATCTGTCGTATGAGACAGAAGTAGAGTGCAGCCAAGTGCTCCTAATGTGTGTTCACTGAAAATAGTGTCTACTTCCTCCTGAGAAATGGTCCTGTCAACCTTGTGTTCTTCCTAGTTATACTAGAATTGTCTGCCCTGTGGTGGCTGGCTTAAGACCTCTGCCTAACTAGACAAGATCTTCTCCTTGTCATTTTCAAGTGTTGACTTCTTGTTGGAGAAAAAGCGTGTTCCCTTCTGCTTGCAAAGCTAAGGATGTGAGCCAAGCTGCCATCACTCACTCACCCCATTCAACCATTCTATGTCCAATTAGATGAATGTCTGCTAGAGAAGTTTCTTCTGAGCAGAGGAAACCAGGTTCTTAAAAGTTCAACAGGGGTCCCTGTTCTCATGAGGAAGATTATAGTGGATCAGCTAGGAAGAAATGATAATCATTTCAGATTACAGTAAGTTTTCTGAAGAAAATCACCATAATACTGTGTAGCTCGAATCTTAAAAGGTCTTATTAATAAAAACAAACCTGGAGCCAGGTATTGGGGTGAGCACTGAAAGATCGGAGAAACAGAACAAGCCATAGCCAACCTCACCTTGCCAATTCCTCAGTTGATCTTGTTTCTTCAAACTGAAAGCTTCTGAGTCCTCACCCAAATGGATCTCAGCTGAACTGCTGCTAAAAGCTAAAAGCTTAAAAGTTCCTGGTCCTCATGCCTTATATGCCTTTCTGCTTCCTGCCATCACTTCCTGGGATTAAAGGTGTGTGTCACCATGCATTGCTGTTTCCAGTGTGGCTTGAACTCAGAGATCCAGACAGATCTCTGCCTCCGGAATGCTAGGATTAAAGGCATGTGCTACTACTGCCTAAACCTATGTTTAATATAGTGGCTGTTCTGTTCTCTGACCCCCAGGTAAGTTTATTGGGGTGCACAATGTACTGGGGGACACAATATCACCACAATACTGAGATAGGAAAAGATAAAGAAGAGGCTGGTGGGTAGAATCTCTCTGGGTCAAGAATGTTTAAATTAAGATCTTAAGGGATGGGGTGACATCAGTCATGAAAACATCTTGGGAACAAAGGTTCTTTTTTTTTAATAATTTTATTTAACTTTATTTTGTGTGCATTGGTGTGAAGGTGTCAGATCTCCTAGAACTGAAGTCACAGACAGTTGTGAGCTGCCATGTGGGTGCTGAGAATTGAACCTGGGTCCTCTGGAAGAGCAGCCAGTGCTCTTAACTGCTGAGCCATCTCTCCAGTCCACAAAGGTTCTTATAGAGCTCCTGAGATAGAAATGGCTTCATAAGCCAATCCCCCTGCCAAAGAAAGTGTACTAGTCAGTGTTGAGGTGCTATAAAAATACCTCACACTGGCTGCCTATAGTAAATACAGATTTGTTCAGGTTTATGGTTCTGGTGGCTCATGACCAAGATCAGGTCTCTGTCAAGGGTGTTGCATCATTGTAGGAACTAGTGTTTATACCTCCAGCCAAAGAAGAGAAGAGGCCTGAATCCCAGGAGCCTCTTCGAGAGGCCACACCCCTGTTAAACCAGGTGCTTCCCATTATGCTTCTTAAAGAGCCAAATCACTGTGTAATAGACAGTGCCACCTTTGGAACCCAGCAGTATACTTTCAAGGACATTTCCAAGTCCCAGCAGGAAATATTTGTAATCTGAAAGAGAAAGGGAGACAGAGTCCCAGGGGCAGAGAGTTGGACCAAGTGCCTTGCAACATGAGAAAATCAATATGCAGACGTGAACTCCACAGGGAGACCCAGAAGCAAGAACCAGAGTTCCCTGTGAACACTCAGCATGAGGATTGCTGTTCTTTGCCCCACTCCCCATGCTTTCTAGACAAGGGAGCCATAAAAGAAAGCCCAGCTCAACTCCAGTGGGGTTTCGTCTCCCAGACAAACACAGTCACCATTGACTGGTAGACATATATGGATAGGAAAAGGGTTGGAATGAACTCCATTGAAATCGTAACGGAATAAGACTGGGTTATGCACCTCCTATATCTTTAGACATGTTTTCTGTTAATTCCATCCACTGACTCTGTCTAATTCACTAGTTTAGATGGTGAAGATTCTTGTTCCAGTTTGTGATTCCTTCCTGTACCCTCCCTCATCTCCTCAAGACATGTCCCCACCCGCGCTAGCACCCACTCACATTTGTGCTGTGCTTTACTCCTGCCACTGACAGAATGTCATGATCAAATAGGAAAAGAGTTCAAGAGTGAATGTAAACTATTGAGTCCATTTTGGGTGTTTGTGTGTATATGGTTTTAAGGCTGGCCACTCTGGACTGGACAACCAATAAGGGGGAGGCGGCTCATCAGCAGGTTCTATTTATATATATTTGTGTTTACATGCTCACACACATACACAAATATAATAAAAGAAAAAGAGGATATCAACTTGAGGGGGATTGTGGGAGGGGTCCGTGGGAAGATAACTGAGAGAGGCCAGAGGGAGGAAAGGAAAGGAGGAAGTGATGTAATTATCACATAATAAATAAAAAAATTTAAAAAAAATTATATTTCAATTAAAAGCATTTTTTTAATCTGAAAAAAAAGTAAATGGAGCATCTACCCCACCCCACCCCACCTCTTTCAGGTGCCAGACTGATCCCCTTTACTGGATTTCCAGGCTCAAGAGTAGTTCAAGTTATTTTGTAGATCTTCAACTTTGAAATAAGATCCTCCCCACCCACCTTAAAAGTCACCCTTGCAAAAAACAAGCTTGCGGGTCTTTCTCAGTGGGTGTTACAGCTTCCCTTGAATCAACTCCACATGTTCCTCCCTGGCAGCCACAATTTCATGTCCAGATTATTGATGCCCCGATTCCAGGTTCTAGAGGAGGGCACCGAGAGCTGGGAAACTTAAGTGTCAGAGTCAACACTTCTGGGTTACAGATGAGGACACTGAGGCCTGAGATCAAGGTCAACTTCTTTCTGTAGCAAAGGACACACCTGAGACCAGTCAGAGGCAGCTGACTCTCAAGCCACTCCTGGCTTTCTGTCTGAATTATTTCTTGGCAAAAATACCACTGCGCATTCAGGACAGTCAAGTGTATTTAGAATGAGCTCAGGGAAGAAAGCAGTTTAATTAAAAGAAAAAAAAAAAACCAGTTGAGTTTCAGTGCTATCCTCTTCAATTCAAGATGGAAATTAATTTATAATAACCTTATCTTTTATTCATGTCATGCTGCATGTTTCAGAGTGTATTGGCATCCTTTTCTTTCTCAGCTAGATGTGAAATAATAGTGTGTTTCTAATGGGCTGTAAGTCACTTAGTGCTGGAAGAACATAGCTGAGTCTCGGGTAACCATTCAGGGAAGTCTGCAGCCACTGGGGAGTCACTTTGCTTCCCCTTTGATGAGTCATGATATTTAAAATTCAGAGGGCTGCTGCAGGCTTCAAAGCAGCTCTTTCAGATTGATCACCCCACAGCCTAACTCCATTAGCGGCCCAGGACAAAGAGAACTCATCCATTTTCCTCTAACAACCTCCTCCTCTCTTCTCAGACCAACCTGACAGAGCTGAAGACATTTGGTTCCCCACCTCTGGCCGTCAGCAATGTCAGTGCTGCAGTGATGGTACTCATGGCCCCAGGGGGCAAGGTGCCCAAGGACCGCAGCTGGAAGGCTGCCAAGATCGCCATGGCTAAGGTGGACAGCTTCCTGGATTCCCTAATCCACTTTGACAAGGAAAACATTCATGAGAATTGCCTCAAAGCCATCAGGCCCTATCTGCAAGACCCTGCATTCAACCCAGAGTTGGTGGCCACCAAGTCCTATGCAGCTGCAGGCCTCTGCTCTTGGGTCATAAACATTGTGAGGTTCTACGAGGTCTTCTGTGATGTGGAACCAAAGCGCCAGGCTTTGAACAAAGCCACCTCGGACCTCACAGCTGCCCAGGAGAAACTGGCAGCCATCAAAGCCAAGATCACTGTAAGTGAACTTAGAACCCTCCTGCCCAACACTGTCAACCTATAGAATACACAGCAACCCCTGGCCACCACCAGAGCCTGACAACATGATGCCTAAGGAGAAACCAAATGCTCATGCAAAATTTCACCCCCTTTCAACTGGGACAGTTTTTCCATTTCTTTTTCCAACACACATAGACCAGACAAGAAAAACCCACTGGGCAGTTGGTACATTGCTCTGGGAAAAAAAAAAGGGGGGGGGGGATGGGGAGGGGAGGGGAGGGGAAATGCATATTACTCTCCTATGAGGAAAGAAGAGTCCCAGAGACACACAGCAGACTAAGAACAGGATCAATGGAGTCTCAGCTGCTCCCGCATCAGTCAAATAGGAATTAAATGCTATTGTACTTTTGATAGTAAAGAACAAAAGGTTACGGCATTGAGATATTTTTCTCCCTTGAAATGTAGGTTGGAGCTGTCTTATTGTTACCTTTTCTACCCATTATTTCCAATTCTGACGAGTTGTCAGTCTGTCTCACTTCCTGCAGTGTGAAGATGTGGGAGCGATGTGTAAGATGGTCATTTTTCTATGGAAGTTTTAAAAACAAGTCATCATGATGGAGTACCAGCACTCAGGAGACTGAGGATTAGTATCCTGAGTCTGAGGCCAGCCTGGTCTACATAAAGAGATTAAGTAAATAAGTAGTATGTTGTGGGTTATAGTGGTCCTTGCTCCATCTGAGGCTTGTTGGCATTTATAAACACTATACATCATTAGTCTGTTTCACTCAGGTGTGAAGGGTTGTTGTGACCTTGGGATTACACCTACTAGAGCAATGGTTCTCTACCTGGGGGTTGAATGATCCTTTCACAGGGGTTACATTCCAGATATCCTGCATATCAGCTGTTTACATTACAATTCATAACAGTAGCAAAATTACAGTTACGAAGTAACAATGGAAATAATTTTAAGGTTGGGGGATCACCACAACATGAGGAACTGTATTAAAGGGACTCAGCATTAGGAAGGCTGAGAACCACTGTTCTAGAGAGAGGATTGCCTTTGAATTTCACTTTTACCATTGAAATGGATACTAACTGACTTAGTAGCAAGCAGGCAGCTTGGTAGAGCTCTTGCCTAGCACACATAATGCCCTAGGCTCGACTCTCAGCCAAAAAGAAGACTAAAAATTAGCAAAGTGAGAGGTAGTCATCTTTAAAATAGCATAGTTAAAAATCTGCCCACGCCGGCGGTGGTTGCGCACGCCTTTAATCCCAGCACTCGGAAGGCAGAGGCAGGCGGATCTCTGTGAGTTCAAGGCCAGCCTGGGCTACCAAGTGAGTTCCAGGAAAGGTGCAAAGCTACACAGAGAAACCCTGTCTCGAAAAACCAAAAAAAAAAAAAAAAAAAAAAAAAAAATCTGCCCTTCTCCACAAAGTCCCACCCCTAACCAGGAAGCTATTCCCAATGGATACCTGCTGGGAAAGGAAAAACCGGTTTTCTCCAGTGGAGTGTCACTGGATATGACAGCCATAATCCAGGGCGGTACAAAAGCCCAGAAATAGTTGGCCAACAGAAAATGGACTCATGTTTTATTTTGTCTACTTTTTTTTTTTGCTATTTTTTTATCCTACTGGGTTTTGTTATTGTTGTTTTCCCTGGTTTGCTTTTTTCCAAGAGAGTGAGACAGAGAAAAAGAAGATGAAGTTGGCTTGGGTGGAGAGGTAAGAAGAACCCGAGAGGAGTTAGGGGAGGGGAAAGAATATGATCAAAATATATTACATGAAAAAATGATTAAAATTTTAAAAATAAATAAGTGATGCGTCCATCTCAACAGACCTTGACTTCAATCTCAGCTGGGATATTTATTTCTTGTGTCTTCAGTGGGCCCAAACTTCAGTTCCCTGAAGGGAAGTAGACAGGATAACAGTACCTGCCTCAGGGGATTAGCCTGGGGATGGAAGACAACCATGCGTGGAGCATGAGCCAGAGGCAGCCTGTGACAAAGAGAACAGCAAGAAGGGCCTTGGGGACCGTGATCCTCACTGTTGCTGCTCCCCCCTAACCCACCCCCACCTTGCTTCCAACGCTGTCAGTCACACACACACACATCCAGCCACGGGCATGAGTTCAGTTATTGCCAGGATCCAGCATAAGCCAAACAACGTTCTGGATATCTATTTCCTCCACATGCATCCCAGGCAAACAAGATTCTTGCTGCGAACGCCTGGCAATGATAAAGCAGGTTTCACAGACTGACAAGTAGGATTGTAGATGTGCTGCATGCACATCTCGTGCAGGATGGGTTTATCGACGGTCAGATGAAAATAGGCACATGAAGGCTCTCAGTGGAAGATCATTGCAAGCAGTCTCTCTGTGTATCGCAAATCCTTGAGGGGCTGGGGCTCAATGCTAACATCTTTAAGATGCTCAATCCATAGCATCTTAATAAATAACAATAATAACTTTGGTGAAGAAACTAATCTCCTCTAAATACCTGCTTTGTAAACCTGGGTGTTCTTGGACCATTTCCTTAGAAGAGGTGGTAATGGCCATAACCAGCCTTCCATTAGTACAACATACCTTAAGCAGCCCTGCTGCCACTTTTTTTTTGGGGGGGGGAGGACTTCCTAATAATTTTCATATTGTTCAGTCTCTCCCAGAAAAGTGTAAAGAACTGAATTTTAAAAGACTTTTTTACTCAAGTTATTTTAACTAAAGGAACATTTGGTCCAGAGGGGATGTTTTTTAAATGTTTATACCTTTCCAGGAGCCAAATTCATACTATGGGCCCACTCAACCTGGGAATGCAAGAAGAATATTTAAGAACACTTGGCTACCATAGGAAATGTTTCTTTTCTGCCAAAATATTTTCTGCTTTTAACAACCTCCTCTCCTTCCTATGCTTATACATTCACCTATTAACATCCCAAGAACATGACCGCATACTTAACTACTACATCAGAGAGAAAGAGAACCCATCCTTTCCATGGAGGCTCACCTGGACCAAGGAGATGCCTCTCCAGGTGCTGCTGAGGTCACTATAGCCTTCTCCTTTCACACGTGTATATACACACTTTAAAACATGTACACTTGTACACATATACACACTTGCTTTGTTGACTATGTTTGGTCTCTAAGTGGTAGATTTTGGATGGCTTTTGTTTGGTCATCTCATTTTCATTTTCTGCAATAAACATGTATTGATATTACAATTTATAAAGCAAAATAGCAATAGGAACAAGTTGGAAATTATCGTAGAGCAGGGAAAATATCAAATAGTAGAGAAAGGTCCTCATAAGAAACAACATCCTATTTTAATTCTTTGATCTGCTTTGCCCAGTGAAGGCCATCTCAGAGCTGACCTGTCTCCTTGGGCCTAGATCTCATATTTGCAGATGACTTAAGAAGTTGCTGTCCTAGTTAATATTCTATTACTGTGAAGAGACACCATGACCAAGGCAACTCTTATCAAAGGAAGCATTTAATCCAGGACTTACTTATGGTTTCAGAGGGTTAGTACCTGCTCGCCATGACAGAGAGCAGATAGGCATGGTGCTGGAGCAGCAGCTGAGAACTTTGCATCCTGATCTGCAGGTACAATGCAGAGGGAAAGGGAGAGAGAGACTGGGACTGGCATGGGCTTTTGAAACCTCAAAGACTACCAAAGACTTCCAAATAGTTCATCAACTGGGGACCAAGCATTCAAATATATGAGCGAATAGTTGTTGTGGTGGTTTGAATAAGAATGGCCCCCATAGGCTCATATATTTGAATGATTAGTCATCAGGGAGTGGCACTATTTGAGAAGGATTGGAAGGTGTAGTCTTGGTGGAGGAAGTGTGTCACTGGATGTGGGCTTTGAGGTTTCAAAAGCCCATGCCAGGCATCCAGTGTCTCCCCCTACACCCCCAATACCACCACCACCTCTCTCTCTCTCTCTCTCTCTCTCTCTCTCTCTCTCTCTCTCTCTCTCTCTCACACACACACACACACACACACACACACACACACACACACACACACACCCTGCTGCCTGCAGGTCAAGATGTAGAGCTTTCAGTTACTTCTCCAGCACCACACCTGCTTGCCCCCATGCTCCCTGCCATGATGATAATGAACTAAGCCTCTGACACTCTAAGCAAGCCCCCAATGAAATGCTTGCTTTTATAAGAGTTGTCGTGGTTAAAGTATCTCTTCATTCCAGTAGAACAGTGACTCAGACAATTGCTAATATTGAACATATCAGAAATTTTACATAGAAATAGGATTTCTGGCCATTATACACATAACCAGAAGATTCCCCCTATATTATTCACTGCCCTGCAATTAACTAGTGTCTTCATATTGGAGTGAATGGCCATGTCGCATTTTACCATCCGCCCATCAGTACCTGTTGCCTAATGCTGGACTCCTAACTGGCTGGTTCTCAATATCTCCTTGCTCTGTTCTTAACGCTAGGCTGATATTTCTACTCCCTGTGTCTTCTTCAGGCATCTGACTGGTCTAAGTTGTTGATTTTGACATCTTCCTAGAAAATTTATGACAACTAGTTTTAGATGCCAGTGCTTTTTATTTCTTGCTCCATTGTGTAGGGGTGGCTTCCTGGGAGCCTCATCTTTCAGGATGAAGCTGTCTATCATCCCAAACTTTTGTTCTTCTCTTATCCTCTCCCTCCCAATGTCTGTCGTCATGACATTATTTCTGTTTTGTGATTGCCATGGCCAAAACTAGCTACATTGGCTTCTGTAACCAAAACTAAGTGTCTCTGTCCATAGACTGATTCATGAAAATTTAAAGAGTCAGTAACTTCCATTGATATTACGTGAACATCTCTATTGTTCACAATAGATCTAAGTGATACACAGTAATTTTATTTTCTTTTTAAAAATTATTTTTATGTGTTATGCATGCTTGCCTACATGTATATATGTGCACTGCACATGTACCCAGTTGTCCTCAGGGACCAGACAAGGGTTGTCAAATCCCCTGTAACTGGAGTTGCAGCTGGTTGTGATCCACCATGTAGCTGCTGGAAATGAAACCTGGGTCGTTTTTAATTTTTTTACTGCCTCTTTTCCCCCGTAGAGTTACTATCTTCTTTTTTTGGATTGCATCCATGATTTCCTTTTGTGTGGCTGCTGTTATTTATCCATTCTCCCCCAAGCCAGGTGCTCCGTCAGGTCGTTATCTCCAGTATCTTCCTCCCTTGTTCGGAGGAGTTCAGAGTTGCAGTCAGTGCTGAGGATAAGCAAGGACCACTGGTTTATTTCTTGAGCTGTTTTCAATGGTGTCTGAACCTCTTAACACCTCCTTTCTTGGTTTATTATTTTATTTTGCTGTATTCCGTCCTCAAGTCACTTTCTCAGGAAAGTGAAGTGGTAAGGGAGAAGCCAATTTTCAGAAGAGTTACAGTCTGGTAATGTATTTATTTTGCTAACCAACTCAAGTTAGAACTTTGCAGCATGTGGAAATCTGAACTGTTCATTTCTCTCCCTGAACGCTTTCTGCTGCAGCCTGCTGAACTGTCAAACCTCCTGACCCATGGGAGGCTCACCTATCCAGAAGCCCTTTGACCTTCTTATTCGTAACACCTGATGCCCAGCACTGATATACTCAGCTTTCATTCTTTATTATTTCTTCACAATTCCATACATGTATGTGATGAATTCTGATCATTTTAACACATAGCTTATTACCTTTCTTAGCTTTCTCTTTCCCACTGAAACCTTCCTAATCCTGCTCCTACTTCTGTGTGTGCATATGTGTGTGTATCCCACTGAGTTTAACTAGGGTTGCTTGCATGAGCATAGATGGGGTGATTTATTGGCATGGGAAACTTACCAGTGGCTACATTGTTGAAGAAAAGGACAGTTCCTCCCCAGGAACCATTAACTGTCAATAGACCCTCAGAGAAGGGTGGAGCCTCATCGGCCTCTCTCTCATCCATGGTAAAATGATGGACAACAGGCTCAGTCTTAGACAGATCCTGTGCGGGTAGCCACAACTGCTCTGAGTTTAATAGAACAACCATGGCATGTCCAGAAGCCAGCGTTTCCCTGCACGATTGCCCATCTTCTGGCTTTTATAGCCTCCCTTCTCCTGCCTCCCTGCACCAACGCATGCACACACACCACACCACACCACATACACCACACCACATACACACACACACACACACACACACACACACACACACACACACACACACCACACTTCTGCAATGTGCCCTGAGCCCCACAGGAAGTGCTGTCCATGTCCCTTTTTAGGGCTGAATACTCCACAGTCACTTAAGTTTCAGTGCTTTGACCAGTTAAGAGTCTGTGTGTTGACCACCAACTACCCATGGCAAACAGAAGCTTCTCTGACCATGCTTAATCCATGAGTATGAACATAAATATTTAGAAGACAATTTAACAACATGTGCGTTTAGCAGTAGTTTCCCCCACACAGAGTCTATGACCACCTCCATCGTGGAATTGGGGCCGGGTTTATAGACCAAGGTATGAGTTCCCTCCTGTGGTGAAGGCAGCTGGTTACCCCCATAGCAGCCATGGCATTATTGCACCAAGAGGTGCATCCTCTTTGGCCAGTGATGGTTGTAGTTTGAAAGGTTCACAGCTGGGTAAAGGCACTAGTGACTTTGCCCTCCCAGCAGCCTGCTTGGCACCTTCTAGGACTATGAAAGCTAGCCAGCAGGGAGGAAGCTTCCAGGTCAGTTACAGCTTGATGCTTTTTATCCTGACAACAAAGTTTATGGTGTCTTCAGCACCAGGGTGTTACCATCTAGTTCTAGTGTGCAATAGAAAGAAGTGGCAATGGCCCGCATTGTTTGGGATGACCCCTGTGGCCTCCTTGATCAGTGACTCTTAAGAGGGCATCCCATACCTTGGCACTTTGATTTTCCTTCTCAGAGGAGCATTACCCACCCAAGGCAGGGTATCTCCTTTCAAACTCTTTTTAAATTACACACTTAATAATCTTATAAAATAGTAGGTTTCCATATGGCTTTTCCATACCTTCTTAGTTTGAGATAAAGCCCACCTTCTTGTCTTCCCTATCCCCTCCCCGACTTTCTTCACTTAAACCCCTCCACCTCCATACAGCTCCCTCTTTTTCCCATCACACGTTTCTAATATCCCATTCTTTTATATTATTCATGCTGACGTGGGGAGACCTACTGTCTTCAGCCCTCCTGACATATTATTGTTTTCTTCTTTGGCAATCTCTCTTCTATTTCCTTTGTAATCTTCTGCAATACAAGCAGATCAGATGTTGAACCTCCTAACTTTGTCCTCCGCTTTCCCTCACCCTGCTGGCACTGTTCATTTTCACAGGCTCACTGGGAGATGTCTGAAGCCGTGCATGGTTTCTAAGTTCCTCTTTTTCACCCACACTCCAATCGCTATTGTTTGTTTACATTAACAATAAAAGGGCGATTCCCAACAGTGGTTTTGTTCTCACCTCCATTTAATAAACTCCCGTTCTCGTGTTGTAGCCGAGCCATCTTGGACCTTTCTGAGAACTGGTCCCAAGACCTTGTAGCTGAGCCATCTTGGACCTCTCTGAGACCTGGTCCCAAGGCCCTTCGTGCTGTTCTTGTTGCTATCGGGAGCCCTGTCTTTCCCTCCGGTCATAGCTTCCCTCTTGTTGCTTACGTTCATCTAGGCAGTTGCTGATATCTTCTGTCTGTGGTGTCTCGGAGGAAGCTAAGATGGCATGGCCACTGCGTTAATGAACACACAGCAGCTGTGATCGCCCATGGAGAACCTGCAAAGACACGAAAGCTGGAGGGCGGCTAGCAGAGAGAAGGGGGCTTAGCAGGGATGGCGGGGATGGAGAGAATAACAGGGTAGAATGAATATAGTCACTGTGCACTGTGTATAAGTATGAAAATGTCAGCAATTTAAAGATGCAGTTTTTAAAAGCTGGTATTATCTCTGCAGATAAAGAGGCAGGTCTGACTGATAAGATTTATTTCTAAGATCAGATGAGCTATGCTGGATGCATCTGAAGTGCCAGAGTTTCTCCTTCATGGTGATGCTGCATTGGACATTTGGATAGAGATGCTTGTTGGGGTGCCAATAGGCTTCTAGTTAGCTCTCCTTCTGACTACCCACTCAGTCACACTTCCAGAATCTCCAGTTGATAGAGGTTCTGAAGATAAATAGCTTTTGTGGTGACCCATGGAAGCCACAGCATCCTCTGCCCTTCTCCAGCCACCCAAAACCTCCATTGGTGTGGACTTCCACCATCCTGCTGGATGGACTGACTCTCCCACCCCTGAGTAATGCCCATTGATTCACATGGTGCAGGGAGCTGATGACCGTTGAAATTGCTTCCTAATCACTTTAGTGATTGCTTGGGAAGAAGACAAGGTGATGGGTGTGTTCAGTCTGCTATCATTAATCCGATGCCTGCTACTTTTTAAAGTGCTAGCAGTGTGAACTCAGACACTATCTGTCTATCTTACACCTTGGCAAGGGCCAGCAAAGCAGCCTGGACTTTAGTTACCGCACAGACACAGATGTTTGCAGAAGTATCTGCTGTGTGTCCCTGTGTCTTCACCTATGTGAATATGCACTCTGAAAGTGACAAGTGTCATGTTTCCCTTCTTAATTCCTGATAAATTCAGAGGAAAATTGAAGCTATGTCTTTTCTGAAAAACATCCAGCCCTTATGATGATGATGGAAAATGGATGAGGGCTAAGTAAAAGTTCCAGTAAAGGAAGGCCAGCCCAGCCTTAGCCTAGTGCAGCACATCTGGTTGATGGCACTCCCAAGTCCCCCCCAGGGGCCTGCAGCTGTATTCTTGCTTTTCCAGCTGTGATGTGCTTTTGCCTCCAACAGCAACACCTGTGCTTTGTAAGCTCACCAAACCCCTTCCCCCGCCCAAGGAGAGGTGGGACTTTTTCTGTCCCTTTGCTCTGCTCCATGCCCATCTCACCTCATTGCCTTTACACAAACTAGGAGCGCTCAGCTTTGATCAGACATCTCTGGGCTTTCATCCCAGGCGCCCCCTGCAGGAAGAAGCTGAGGCTGTCTCTGGGGTGCTGCCTGAGAGCACCCCTCATTTGGCTTCCTTTCCTCCCCTCTTCCTTGTTGTTCTTAGTCTCTTGGCCTCCCTCCCCCTACCCAGCATTCCCTTCAGAATCCTCTTCTCATGAAGCCTTATCTCGGAAGCACTAAGAGGTGGCGTGTAATTACTGACCAACTTTGCGTTCCTTCCTCCACAGCACCTTAATGAAAACCTGGCCAAGCTCACTGCCAAGTTTGAGAAAGCAACGGCAGAGAAACTCAAGTGTCAGCAAGAAGCGGAAGTGACCGCAGGCACCATCTCCCTTGCAAACCGTCTGGTGAGCCTGAGCTCTAATTACATTAGCAGAGTTTGTCAAGTGGCCCAGAAGTGTGACTGGATGAGCTCAGCTCAGTGCAGCTTTGACTGGCCTTGGGAAGGAGCGGGTGGGGGGAGGGGTATTAAAATGTGCAGAGATGCAGGGACTGTGTGACCTGAGAAGTGTGGCTTCTTGGTCATCTCTGGTCAAAAAGCTGATGTCGTAAAGAGGTAGTTAGACAGACAGGTACGCTGGACCTACTAGACAGCAGCTGTGTGGCCATGCTTCCTGGATATGCCTGGGCCAGAGAGCTGGCATTCTGTGGGTCAATTCCAGAGTTCTTAGCCATGTAATATTTGACCATAAAGTGCAAGATTAGGGACTGAGAAGCAGAAAGGAGGGAAACTGACTGACCCTGAACATTTCTGGATGTGACCTTATTTGTGCATACCTGTGTGTACACGTAGGGAAATAGTGGAGAGATGGGTAGACTTTGGCCTTCCTAAGAAAACAAGTCCAAATGTCAGGACAAAGGTGTTTATTTTAGCATGTCTGTTGCTATATAACAAATCACCCCCCAAAAAAAAAAAAAATTAACTCGGGAGCAAGTGTAGATATGCCATCCTTGGTTGGGGTAGGAGAGAGCTGGTATTGGTGGGTGTGTTCTTTCTTCAGAAGAAAGTACTGAAGGGGTTGAAGTGGCATTTTGTGTCTTCTGAATTGGTTTGCTGGGATCCAGTGTTAGAGGGCTTCGCAATCCAGGCTGTGTTTATGAGATTCAGACTAATGGTACTTTTCTTCTTCATTCAGAGGAATGCAATAAACCAACCTGTTTTAGAAGAGAAAAATATCACAGTAACCATTCTACAATATTTCACAGTCTTGTGGGGGCAGGGCTTTGGGTAGAGTTTAGCTTGCTGTGTTATCTCCATGCCTGGAGAATTCAGGGTTATTCACGTCTGGGGCTGGGCTGGGTTGGAGAGTCCAGAATAACTTCCTTCATCTGATCGGTACCTTAGCAGGTAAGGCTAGTAGGGTGAATTCTGTCTCCATGAAATCTCTCTAGTAGCATCATCCTCGAGAGATGTTCTATCCTACCCCAGGACTCTACAAGTGAGTGTGCCGAGAGACAGGAAGTAGAATGTGTCACTCTCATAAAACCTGGGGCCAAAATCTAGCAGTGTCTGTCGCTTCTGCCTTAGTCCATCTAAATAGTTACAAAGTCAAGGGGAGGGAGATGGATAACTCTTATTTTTGCCTTGTGTCTTGGCTTTGTTGTTGTTGTTGTTGTCATTTGTTGAGATAGGCTCTCACTCTGTATTCTAGGCTGGTTGCAAACTCAGTCTTCCTGCCTCAGCTGTTAGAGTCCTAGGACTATGGATGTGAGCCACCATGCCTGACTTCGGCATCCACTTTTGATGAGAGGTCAAAGAATTTGTGGCTTTTTAAAATTCCTCCTGGCTCGTATTTCTCTCACATTCAGCTGCAGAGACTAGAGAGCAGCTTCTACCGAGAGTGATTTCTCTTTACTCTGTGGTCTTCACAGCACCACCCTCACCACAGACAAGAGAATGATAATAAATTCCTTTCCTCACTTATTCCAGCTACAGCCATATTTCCTTAAGCCATGTGTTGTGGCCACCACTGGACTAAGCAATGGCTTAGTGAAGACACCAATCCACATGTGTGACAGTTGCCATATACTCTGATGTTGCATTAAAACAGAAAATAGATTTCCCCCTGGAGTAGTTTAGACCAGGAATGAGCGTATGTATGAATTCTCCACTTCTTTCCCCGTGTCTTCACTGCCTCGTGTTCATGGTCCACAGACCATGAACCTGTCTGCTGTATTTCTCTCACCTGTACCTGCTGTCTGTCTGTCCCTAACAAAGGACTTGACTCTGTGTTTACTGAACAGAAATTAATGATACAGGAATTAAATGGGGAATATTTTTTAACAGGAATCTTTAACAGAGTTTTACAGGGAAGAAGTTACTGTACTGACCATGACTGACCCAGGATAGCACTCAAAAACCACACAGATCTTAGCAACCAATAACATGTTGCTTCCAGGACTTACGGGATATTTGTTTTAAGGTTGTTTTGCTTTCAGTAAATAATTACCACAGCATATACATATGCATACTATATTATGGGTCAGGAGCATGGAAGTACATAATTTAAGATTAAAGCTACGCACTAGCTTAGGTTATTACTATTGGGCTATTAGGTTATTACTAGCTTAGCTGATTACATGGAATGGGCAAAACATGGTGAGGTTGGTTACATTATTCTCATAAAGGCAGGTCAGAGTTAAACAGGCTGAGCACATAGGAGGACAGCATGTTGAGTATGTAGTCCCAAACAGTCTCAAAGCCTGTTATCAGCTTGGATGCAAGGTCAGGCAGGAAAATATGTCGCCACAGTTATGGGTGGGACAGGCTGCTGCGAAACCTTGAGATGACCAACTTCACCAAACAATTTGGTTCAGAGAGGGGACCCTGCTGACATGCAAGAAATCAGCCAGATCTGGCTAGCCTGCCTCCCATCTAGCACCTCACCTGACTTATAAAACTCAGCACAGCCTTCTCCATCAGATAGAGACTTCGCCATATACATTTCCATGAGAGGCTACGGGACTGGATGTATCTGAAGCCACTGCTATCTCCACCAACCGAGATTCTGTAAGGAAACTTGGACTTCACTGTTCGAATCTAAGAACGGGGCAGGGCCACGTTGTGTTGGCAAATCACATCTTGCTCTGCTAGCTCTAACAATGTATGACAATCTCCTCCCAAGGAAAGAGATATCTTCCAAATATGAACCAGGCCAGTGGAGATGTGTTCTGCAGTCTCTGGCACTTTGTACACACTCACGTGTGTACACCTCCTATCACTGCCTTTATTCACCTCTATCTTCCCACCCACTGGAAAACTGTTCAGGGCACATGGACTTGACTTTATTTTCATATCTCAACACTTAGGGAGAAGAAAGAAGAAAAGTCTAATTTTCTAATGTGTCCTACAGACCACACACTATGCTGAGTGGTAACACGCATGAACATCTTCGGTCCTCACACCAACCCATGGAATTGGTGGAGCCATCTCCACATGTAGAAAGGGCAGAGCCCTGCAGCTGGCATCCAGAATCTGTTATCATCGCACAGTCCATGTGTTGTACAACACAGAGTAGGGGCTTGTGTGCTGGAGTGTCACCTGCAGCCAGGACATGGCTGATGGAAAGGGCCGCATGGTGGAGAAGGACGCACAATGGTTTACTGGGACTTCGTGCTGTGGACATATGGCGTGTGACCTCCTTGACTAAATACATGGCTCTGTGGGCTCCATCTGATGCTTCTCTCTCCTTTCTGCCCTTGGTAGGTTGGAGGACTCGCTTCTGAAAACATCAGGTGGGCCGAGGCTGTGCAGAACTTCAAACAGCAGGAAAGGACATTATGTGGAGACATTCTTCTCACTACAGCTTTCGTCTCCTACTTGGGCTTCTTTACCAAAAAATACCGAAAGAGCCTCATGGATGGGACCTGGAAACCCTATCTGAGCCAGCTGAAAGTACGTACGGCCTGAATTTGTCCTGACTGTCAGCCTGTGTGTACCACTGAGATCATGTGACCATCATAACCCAAACCTTCCAGTACTCCTTGCGTATGCACTGACACTCCCACCTGAGTGTCAGGCATGGGATACATACACACTCATATCCTCTCCACTGCTAGGCGTTATATGGTCCTCTGTCCTCTGGTCCACCTAGAACCATGCCTTAAAGGGGTTCTCATGGGAACTCCGTGGTCTGGTTCTCCAAGCTCTGGTTCTTTGATGACCTCTACCTCCTGGCTCACTTCCAAGTGGTAAAATCTGGGAGACAACAAAGGATCTCTCTGTTCCAGAGGACATCACGGGAGCAGTGAGGAAGTTTCTTCCCTGTTCTTCCTGGCCCATTGTCGTTGGGCCCCAAAACCATACAGTTTATACCCATGGCTCAGAAACACAGCTATAAAAGCAACTTTGTCCACCAATGCTCATGTGCTCCCTCTGTATATCAAAGTAATGAAATGGGGGCAGGGGATGCTGGTGGCTGACTAAAGGAGATTTCAAGCCTTAACCAGACCCTAACATTCCCTTGGCACATTTTTATAACTCAGGCTCACCAGTTTTCAAACACTAGCCAAAAATTCAGAGTTTCCTACATGCCATGTTGATGGAATACAAAAGATATGCCAGGCTGGGATGGCTTCAGCACATTCATAGTCCAGTGGAGGTGATCAGGTCCACAAACTTCAGCTGCAGAAAGAGTGAGCACAATTCACATTGTACCCTGAGGCATATTCCAAACCCCACCCATAACTACAGCCCTAGAATACCAAATGCATTTCTATAGTGATGCCTGTGTTTTCCCAGATCTGCTCATAAAATTCTACCCGCGTGATGATTTCATGAACTGGTTTTAAATGGTTACAGTACCATGAATAGCATGGATACTAGTTCAACAGTAACTAGTGGCACTAGTTGTGCTAACTAGTTGAACTAACAGCCCTCGTTGAGCTGTGAATTCATTCATCTTGAAATCAGTGGGAGAACCATCAACTGAGAGAAGATGCACGGCTCTTAGCATCTTAGCGGCGTAGGGGGCTGGGCTTGTTGGATGTGCGTAAGAATTCTTACGCCGTAGATGCCTTTGGCAATGTCTTAGTCTATTGTCTGGTGCTCAAACGGTGCTAGAGAGCAGCTAATCAATAAAGAACTGATATTTACTTGGCTCTCGATACTGCAGTCTTGTGAGTGTGCTGTAGACCTCAGTACTTTGACATCCCATGCCAGAAGGCAGAAGAGGAAGAAAAAGTGAGAGCCAGAGAGAAAGATGGGACCAAACTCACCTCTGTGACCCACTCAGCAGAAACTAATTCACTCCCATGGTATCCATGGGAGCCATTTACAGGGCAGAGCCACAATGACCTGCTCTCTGGGGATTAAGTTTTCAACACCTAAATTTTAGGGAACATAGTCTAACCACAACAAGCAGTCTGGTAAAGTCTATGAATCCCAGAATAATGTTTTATTCATAAGATTATAAAGAAAATATGACAAAATACATTTCTGGGGTTTTTTTGTTTTATTTTTGTTTTCTCTGTATATCTCAAGCCTACCTCAAACTCACAATCCTCCTGCCTCAGTCTCCACCACAATGCTTGGCCACATCAAGCTTGTCAAGGGAATTCAGTCCCTTGGTATTCTCCTGAGATCAGAAATGTGTTTCAAGCTGGGCACAGTGTCATATATATGTAATGTATATGTAATTACAGAAGTCAGGAGGCTGAGATGGCAGGGTCATGAGTTTAAGGTCAGTGTGAGCTACTTAGTTCAGATGTTGGAGAGAGAAAGAGAGAGAGAGAGAGAGAGAGAGAGAGAGAGAGAGAGAGAGAGAGAGAGAGAGAGAGCATGATACTATAGCATGGGCCTTCTGTTTCCTTCATTTAAACTTGTTTAACCTTTCACATCATGGCATGACATTCTCACCTATAAATGTCATACTCTAGAACCTGTGTGATTGAGTAATCCAAAACAAAACAAAAACTTACAAAAATATCATGTCTTAAGTAAGTTAATGATTTTTTGTGAGCCAACATTCACAGCTGTCCTGGGGATCATGGGGCCCAAAGGCTACCACTTGAACATGGTAGGAAAAGGAGTTAAAAAGGTTTACACAGTTTTCCAGAGGTACCTAAGCAAAGCAAACTGCAGAGACAGTTGAATCAAAGAGTTTAAAGGGTGTAAGTCTAAACCTCAAAAGCATTACACTAAATGGAAGTGGCCAGACACAAAAGGTCACATCGTCTATGATTCCATTTTTATTAAATATCCAAAATCAGAAAATCTATAGAGACAGAAAGCATATTGGTAATTGCCAGGAGCTTGTGGTAGAGAGACACAGGGAGGGATTGTTTAATGAGCATGAGGCTTCCTTTGGGGCTGTGAAACTACCTGGGAGAAGATGGATCGAGCTGGAGACTGCATAACACTGAGAATGTGCTCTCCTCCACCAAACGGTGTGCTTTACAATGGCTCGTTTTATGTTGTGTAAATTTTACCCCTTTTTAAAAGTATATAAGTCAATGAAAAAGATTGTTTATAGAAGAATTAGGAGAGCCGAGAGAGGCCAAAATAGAAAAACAGAAAGGATATTCTAGCTCTGAGGGTACATAGAGGGACATGGGTGGAGTTCTCAGGGCTGGGGGTGTGCTCCTCAGCAAGGCCCCCCGCAGGTGTGCTTACTGGGGGAGGGGCCTTGTGAGCAGCCTTGAGGAGGGAAGATTGGGGTAGGGGAAAGGAAGCTTCCGCAGCCCTTTGCAAGCTGGTAAATTAGATGAGAGGAGAAAGTGGTTTGTGTGTGCCACCAGAAAACCAACGTGAGAAACAGAACAGTGACAGAGAAGCAAGTGTCCACATGGTTGTGGATATTATAGATTAAAGATATAAATAATCAGGCTGGCAAGACAGCTCAGAACTACCTGAGTTAGAACATGGAGGCCCACACAGTAGAGGAAGAGAACCAATTCCCCCAAATCATACTCTTACTTCCAAACACATGCCATAGCACATGCACACTCACACACATACATACACATGCAATAAGTAATTTTTTAAAAAAGACATAAGCTGTAGAAGGAATTTGATTAAGATGAATATATTGAAGAGCAAAAGAGTTGGTCACGGAAGGAATTTCTCCTGTTCATCTATCAAGATACTTTCTGCAACAATCACACAGCCAGGAAAGCACTCTTCAGGGAGATGTTGATCTTGCTTTTAAAGGGGTTATGTTATGTGGTGAGATACTGTGGCTTCTCCCGCACAGAGATGGGGTTTTCCATTCAGAGTGTGCCTGTCACCTCTTCATCAGGTTCCCATCCCAGCCACCTCCACTCTGGACCCCCTGAGGATGCTGACTGATGATGCCGATGTGGCTGCCTGGCAGAATGAGGGCCTCCCTGCAGACCGCATGTCCATGGAGAATGCCACCATCCTCATCAACTGTGAGCGCTGGCCGCTTATGGTTGATCCTCAACTGCAAGGCATCAAGTGGATCAAGAACAAATATGGAGATGAACTCCGAGTCACCCAGATAGGCCAGAAAGGGTAGGTGACTAGGAACACAATTTGATGCTGTTGCTATTTGTATAAGAAGGAAACATTGCATGGAACAGGTTTAAGCCCCAGTGGCTTTTATCACCCCCACCCCCACCCCTTCTGACCTCTCCATCAGGCAACTCTCCTGATTTCTTGCAGGTTTCCCTCTCAGTTTAGGGAGTATTTCAGCAAGATACTTGGGTACCAGCTCTGTGTTCTTTCTCATTAGGAATCATGTGGTCAGTAGGATGACTGTAGTTCATTATTTATTAAACATTTCATAGGAAGAGAAGAATTCAAAGGTTCTCCAACACAAAGAAATGGTAAGTGTTTAAGGAAGAAGAAACCCTGTTTACCCTGACCATTGCATAAAGTATACATGTATCAAATCATCACTCTATACCCTACAAAGACATACAACTATTATATCCCAGTTAAAAAGATGTTGTACTTTCTCATCTGGGCATGTTATCACCATCTCTGGTGGTGATAATTGTCTCTTTGACAATTAATATTGATTATCAAATAGACAATATCAGAATCACCTAGGAGATAAACCTCTGGGCATGCCTGTTGGGAATCATCTTGACTAGGATAGTTTCTGACACTTGATTGAGGTGATTGAAGTGAGAAGACCAACCCTAAAAGTGGGTAGCACCATTCCCTAGGCCTGGGTCCCAGTCTGTATAAAATGGAGAAATCTAACTGTGGTAGTTTGAATGAAAAAGGTCCCCATAAGCTCATAGGGAGTGGCATTATTTGAAGGATTAGCATGTGTGGCCATGTTGAAATAGGTGTGACCTTATTGGAGGAAGTGTATCACCGGGGGTGGGCTTTGAGGTTTCAGATGCTCAAGCCAGGCCCAGTGGCTCACACTCTCTTCCTGCTGCCTACTGATCCAGATGTAGGACTCTCAGCTACCTCTCTAGTACCATGTCTGTCTGCATGCTGTCATGCTTTCCATCATGGACTAAACCTCTGAACTGTAAGCCAGCCTCAATTAAATATTTTCATTTATAAAAGGTGCTGTGGTCATGTTGCCTTCCACAACAATAGAACATTGACTAGGACAAAAGTTGGTTCCAGGGACTTGGGCATTGCTGTGATAGGCCTGGCTGTGCTTTTGTTTGGAGGGATGTAGCCTTTGGGACTTTGAATTAGGAAAGTAGTTGAATGCTTTAAGCAGAGTTTAATTGGTCATACTAGTAGGAATATGGAAGACAGTGGTGCTGAAAGTGATTTGGATGTGGCCTGTGGACTATTCTTATGATATTTTGGTGATAAATGTGGCTGTTTTCTGCCCTTGTCCAAAAATTCTGCCTGAAGCTAAATTAAGGAGTTTTGGATTAACAACATTGGCAAGGAGATTTAAAAACAGCCTAGTATTGATTATGATATGGTTATTAGTGGCCACTCTTATGCAGATATAATGAAAAGGAACAAGCTGAGCAAGGAAAAATAGAAAATGTATAGTTTGAGAAGAAAGGAGGCACCAGGAAGTCCTGTGCTCAAGGAGATAAACAAATTAAAGAAAAGCCTGCTGCTGAATGAAATAAAGGGAGTGGTGACCTCAGGGCAAGATTCCACCCAGCTTAGCTTCTAACTTGTGAAAAGGACTTAAAGAAAATCATAGGGTGAGATTTGGTGGCACAAACCTTTAATCCCGGCACTCAGGATGCAGAGGCAGGCAGATTTCTGAATTCAAGGTCAGCCTGGTCTACAGAGTGATTTCTAGGGCAGCCAATCTTAGGAAGGAAAAGAAACCACTGAAAACATAAAGCTGGTGAAAATGTGTTTGAATGAGGGGGGCCATGTTCCAGCCCTAGCAAACAGAAGAACTTGGCAACTTCAGCCACATAGTCTGGCTTTATAGTCAAGGATATGAGAAAAGAGTTATGGGATCTCCTCTGTGGCTAAGGAAAGCCACTGAGGCTAGGTATGTGTCAAGGGTGTCCCTGCATGGAGGCTCAGAGAAGTGATTAAGTAAAGCTGTAAAGATGAAGCCTGGATTTTGTTGGAGACCCCAAGACGTTAGAGATGTCAAAGTCATGGTATACCCACCAAAGTGAGCTGCTAACAGGATGAAGGAAATATGCTTCAGTCAACAAAGCTGAAAGGAATTGGAGATCTGAAGAAAGTTTTGACATCAGACATGGAGATGTAGAGTTTGGAGTTCCCCCAGCTGGTTTTTGGTCTTGCTTTGGTCCAGTATTTCCTCATTATGCTCCCTTTCCTCCCTTTTGGAATGGTAATGTATCCTGTGCCATTGTATTTTGGAAGTATGTGATCTCCTTTTTCATTTTGATTTTACAGAGGGTTACAGTTAAGAAACTGCCCTGAGTGTCAGACACTTTGAACTGTGGACTTTTAAGCAGTATTGAGACTGTGATAGACTGTGGGGACTTTCGAAATTGGACTAAATGCATTAGGACATGGCTACAAGCTTATGGAAATCAGAGAGTAGAATATGGAAGTCTGAATGAAAATGGCCCCCATAGGCTCATAAGGAGTGGCATTATTTGAAGGATTAGGATATGTGGCCCTGTTGGGGTAGGTGTGGCCTTATTGGAGGAAGTGTGTCACTGAGGATGGGCTTTGAGTTTTCAGAAGCTCAAGCCAGACCCAGTGGCATACTCTTTCTGTTCTCTGCTGATCTGGATATAGGACTCTCAGCTACCTCTCCAGCACCATGTCTGTCTGCATGTTGCCGTGCTTCCCATCATGATAATGGGCTAAACCTCTAAACTGTAAGGTGGCCCCAATTAAATGTTTTCCTTTGTGAAAGTTGCTATGACCATGGTGTCTCTTTAAGCAATAGAACATTGACTAAGACGCTGAGAGCATAGGCATTCAACTCCCTCTGATGGGGGCTGTGAATGCAACTTAACCAGCTGCCTCAAGCTCCTCGCTACAGACTTCTCATGATAGACTGCACCTGTGAACCAAAATAGCCCCCCCCTTTCCCTTAATCTAGATCAGGCCTGAAGGCACACTAAGTGCAGGCCAGCAGCAATCATGACTAGCTCTCGATAGAGGAGGGCCACCTGGTCGCTGTAGTAGGTTCCCTCTGTTCATCCTGGCTCTTGGGCTCTTGGGCTTTGCTTCCAGTTCCCATAGGACTCTTCAGGAGACTGACAGGCACAGTGCTAATCTTTGACCTGGCTTTGCCACTAAGTAAGCATCAGCTTCTCCTCCCTCTACATCATGACTGTGATGATGTTCAACATGCGCTGGCAGGCTCACACTGAGATCCATGGAGACCATCCTGACGGGCACCTATCACTCTGTTCTCACTGCATCAGAGAATACAAAGCATGAGGCAGACATGGGTTGGCTAAAGAGACTCCCCATGGACCTGCCTGGCAAAAACAAATGTCAAGAGGAAGTGACTAGACCAGACTAGTAGGTGGCCTAAGAAATTATCACAGAAAGGGAGCACTTGCCCACAGATGGAACTGGCAATGATAAATGGGAAGTCACAGGGTGAGGTGGTGTCACTGGAAATGAAAAATGACCTAAGACAAGGCCGGCCTCTAGCCTCAGAGTGGCTGCGAAGTGCTTCCATACCCATAGGAATCAGTGGGAAGAAATTGAGTTCTGGCAGCAACTCTAAGCGCCACCATGGATCTGTTTCCCTCTCCTGTGGGGGAAAAATGACTTGCTGGGTAGTCCCACAGCTTTGGGAAAGTACTATCCTGGAAAAGGGCCTATAGAGGAAGAGGGCCAGGAGCCACTGACAGTCACAGAGGAGAGTGCCCCAAAAGAAGAGCCATGGGAGTCTAATAGCCAGATCATCCTACACTGTGCTCCATGTGGTCTTTCTGGTGAGCTACCAGGGCTTTCTTCTGAGGGATCTGGTGTGAAAGGCTCTGTCTTGCCTATGTTTTGAGTGGTTTCCAGGTCTGTGTGCTAGTCCTAAAGTTCTTTAGAAAGATGAGACAAGATGTGTTTTCTTGATTGTCTGAATCCCCTGTCTTCAGTCCAAACAACAGAAAGTAAACAGATCCTGTCATGTTTGAAAAGTACCCCAGATGGTCTGCAGATAATACTAGCATCATTGGCTCTGTAGCCTTTCCAATAGCAAAGCCTCAGTGCCAGAGTTAAGATACAAGAATGGTCAAAACAGTGGGTGGACTTTCAGCACTGCCTTACAGTGATCTCCTATTGCCTTTAGTCTAGAACACACAGTCCAACAGTGCAGCCCTGATTTGATCTGCATAGTCACACAAACCATAGTCCAGTCTGAACTCCCTAAAAACTGGTTGGTGTGGAAAGACACTCTTGAATGTGTTTTTGGTTTTGGGTTTTTTTTTGGGGGGGGGGGTTGTTTTGTTTTGTTTAGTTGTTTTGGTTTGGTTTTGGTTTTGGTTTTTCGAGACAGGGTTTCTCTGTGTAGTTTGGTGTCTGTCCTGGATCTTGCTCTGTAGACCAGGCTGGACTCAAACTCACAGAGATCCACCTGGCTCTGCCTTCGGAGTGCTGGGATTAAAGGTGTGCACCACCACTGCCTGGCTTGAATGTGTTTTTAACTGTTCTGGAAAAGACACTCAGAATTGAGAGCCTTTCAAGAGATAATTGCTATGTCTTATGTAAGGTCAGATGAGAACATGGTGATTATTATAAAGTTCTTTTGAGGTTATTTTGTTGTCTTTGAGACAGGGTCTCAAACAGCCCAGGCTGGCCTTGAACTTCTGATCTTCCTCCTTCACTGCTCCAATGCTAGGACTACAGGAGTAAACCACAATGCCCAGTTTATGTGGTAGTGGAGATAAAACCCACTGCTTCACTCTATCAAGTGAGCAACAACCCAGCTTTTCTTGAAGTTCTTAATGTATCTTGAATACACACTCTAAAGGGATCCTATCTGAGATATATTTGTCTTAGCTTGCCTCTGGTCATCCAATAGGAATGTGGATATTTGTAATGATTCCCTGCTCAGTTTTGGGTGACCTGTAAACTGTTTCTACATTTTATAGAATCATTTTATTCTGTGACACTTAAAATATAGTCTAAATGGAGGCCCTGTGGTAGAGTTGCAACATTAAATTTTAGAATAATCTTCTCAAACTAGAAACTCTAGCGACCCTTAGCACAAAGGAGCCCAAGCCTGTCTCTATGGCTCAGATAAAGAAAGCAAGTTACATACCTCCCTTGAAAACTTCCCAGTCCTAAGAGTTGAGATCCTTTTTCAATGTTTTGTTTTGTTTTTATATTTAGGTTACTTGGGGCTGGAGAGTGAATGTGCCACAGTACATGTTGTGAAGGTCAGGGGACAGCTTACAGGAGTTTTCTCCTTGTACTGAGTGGGTTTTATAAGTGTTACAGTTCTGAGGGGAGCGGTTTCCCCAGTGGAACTGTTACAGCTTGCTCTGGGGTGGGGGGATGTTTCCCCATTGGGAATGTTACAGCTCTGCTCTGGAGGAGGAAGTTTTCCCCAAAGTGTTACAGCGCTGAAGGGAAAGGTATCCTGGCAGCTGGGAGCCAAGGAATACCACAAAGTCACACTGCACAACAAACCTTACACAAGAGATTTATAGGGAGGGAAGAATCCAGGAGGGTAGCTGCCTCTGCTCAGGCGAGAAGCAGTAGAGAATTGAGCAGAAGTCAGGGATTATATAGTGTTTCTTAGGGATGGAGCTTTCCAGGGTGGGGATTGGTGGGATTTCAAGTCCTGATCTTGGGCTTTTTACTCTGTAGGATGGGGCTGGGCCCAGCCTTTAGGGCAGTAAGTGTTCTATGAGTGGAGCCTGGCAGTTGGAGGGCCTCAGGGGATGGGCCTGGCCTTACAGGTTCCAGGAATGAAACTCAAATTGTCATCATTGGTAGAAAGTGCTTTTATCCACTGAGCCATCTCACCAACCCTAAAATCCCTTTTACATTAAGATTTTTCTGATATGATCCCTTTATTGTGTTTTAACAATTTAATAAAAGTCATTTAAGAATGTATAGGGAGATTGGAGAGCCATTGTTGCTCTTCCAGAGGACCCAAGTTCAATTTCCAGCACCCACAGCTCGCACACCATCTGTAACCCCAGTACCAAGAGAGCTGATTCCTCTTCTTTCAGCCTTCACTTACACAAAAGCATACACAACATGCAAATAATAAAAACAAATCTTTAAAAAGAGATAAATAAAATAGTGTCTGTTTCCTAGGACTTGTAGGATAAAAGGGCCAAGGAAAAACACCCTAACCCTGACTTGACCCCAAGACCAGGGCCAAAGAAAAACACCCTAACCCTGACTTGACCCTGAGACTAGTACAAAGGCAAGAACACATGTGGTGGTATTGTGTTCCCCAAAATAGTGTGCACCCTAATAAATTTATCTGGGGTCAGAGACAGTACAGCCACTAGATACAAAGGCTAGAAAATGGTGGCACTCACACCTTTAATCCTAGCATTCCAGAGACAGAAATCTCTCTGGATCTCTGTGAGTTCAAGGCCACATTGGAAACAGCCAGGCATGGTGACACACGCCTTTAATCCCAGGGAGTGATGGCAGAAAACAGAAAGATATATAAGGCGTGAAGACCAGAAACCAGAAGCATTTGGCTGGTTAAGCTTTCAGGCTTCTAGCAGAAGTTCAGCTGAGATTCAATTTTAATGAGGACTCAGAGGCTTCCAGTCTGAGGAAACAGGATCAGCTGAGGAACTAGCAAGGTAAGGAAGCTGTGGCTTGTTCTGCTTCTCTGATCTTCCAGCATTCACCCCAATAACTGGCCTCAGGTTTGATTTTATTAATAAGACCTTCTAAGATTCCTGCTACAAACACACTGATCCTAACTTGACTCCAATCCGAAAACCGGAGTCACAAAACAGAATCCCACCAATCCCTGGACTTGCCTCAAGATCAGACCACAGAATTCCACCAATCCTTAAACTTGCCCCAAGATCAGGCCACACACACACACACACACACACACACACACACACACACACACACACACACACAAAATCCCTCCAATCCTGGGCCACCCTGGAAAGCTCCAGACCCTAAGAAACTCTATAAAAACTCTGCCTTCTGCTCATTGCCCTGTGGCTTCTCACCTGAGCAAAGGCAGTCACCCTCGTGGATTCTTCCCTCCCAATAAATCTCTTGTGTGAGGTTTATTGTGCAGTGTGACTTTGTGGTATTCCATGGCTTCCAATTGCCAGGATACTTTTCCCTTCAGAGCTATAACTCTTGAAATGGGGAAACCTTCCCCATGGGAGCAGGTAACATTTCTGTTGGGGAAGCCTTTCCCTTCAGAGCTGCAACACTAACAGGACTCCCAAAGTGAGACTTAAAAACCACTATTGGTGGGTTAACTGGTGATGTATACCAACTTGTACTGTGTGCTAAAGGGATACACCATGTGCCATTTTAGTGTTCTCATAAAACTGGATAAAATCTGTTCTTAAGTATAATGAATCTTATTTTACATGTGTTAAAAATTACTTTGGAAGAATATTCAATGCATTGAGAAAATGCTCGTATTTTATGTAAAAATAAAAAACTAGGTTATAAAGCAAAAGTGCCATATGAATTCAATAACATAAAAACTAAAATTGAGAATGTAATGTGGTCAGCTCTTCATACCAACATGTTGCACTGAGAGCCAATGATATACTTGGGAACAATTGCATCTCTACTGGACATGTGCAGACTTTCTCCCTCGTCATTAATAATCCTGTGCAGCCACCATTACAGAGCATTCCTCTGAATCAAGTATTATAATAAAAGTTTATGGGAGGATGGCTGCAGACTGTATGCAAACATAACACCATTTCATGTAAAATGTAATAGAGCGCTTGTTGGTTTTGTTTCCCATGGGGCCCCAAACCAATCACCCAGTACCAAAGGACCACCCAAATAGCCAGATGTCCACAGTAAACACTGAATTATACATAACAGACAGGGACTGTGGTTAATTTTCATATCCCTTTTTGTTTTGTCATTTCTATTTCTAAAAGATGTAAAAAAAGTATATATAAATCTCAGAAACGTCATTTTAAAGTAGACAAAAGTATAATAACTAAAGACATTTCCGGAAACTGTGTCCCCCTGCCCAGCCCTGCACTTCCCTCCAACGCTCCGTGGTCTTGTTACATTGCCTCAGCCCCATGTGTTTATAGACTCATGCTGCCTAACTTGCTCCCCAGCTGCCTTCAGACCATAGAGCGTGCCCTGGAAGCTGGAGATGTGGTGCTGATTGAGAACCTCGAGGAATCCATTGATCCTGTCCTGGGACCTCTGCTTGGGAGAGAAGTCATTAAGAAAGGCCGGTGAGACTCGGATGCACAGCTGCCCTGTGAACCGTGCTGGTCCACTACCCTGGTTAGAGCTGTGGAGAGGTCCCCTCTGGAACCTCTTCCGCTCAGCTCAGCTCAGGGAACTCTCTGCAGCTGACTGACCTTCCTCTCCTTGAGTAATAGGCCATTTCATTGCCCTTGGATTCTGCAGAGGTTTCTGAAAGCCTACAGTTCCTCATCCTCTTTCTGATGGCCATGGTGCACAATTTGAGAGAAACCCTAAGGGAAAATGGCCAAAAGCAGACAGACTTCTAAGACACACATTCTATTCAAGCCAGATGTGTGAGGCTCAGAACTCAGCTCCCTGTGAATTTGATGACCCTTTGTGACTTTGAAGGCTTAGCAGGTACAGGGCACAAAGAGGTGGTTGATGTGAATGAGAAAAATGAGAAGTAGTAGAAGGGCTTCCATCTAATATATGGCAGGAGTGCTGATTAACATGAAGGTGTGGTTGACTCTGGGGTCAGCCTTACCTGTTTCCTGTTACTATAGCAAAATACTCAAGGCCAGGTAGTTTACTAAGAAAATCATTTGTAGAGTTCACAGTTTGGGAAACAGAAAGTCCAAGACTGACCAGCTACATCCGCTAAGAGTCTTTTTCCAATATCACAACATGGCAGACGGCATCGTGGTGGGAGTCCATGGGGAGGGGGACCACATGGTAAGACAGGAAGATAGAGATTGGGGAGGGTCCAGGCTTACTCTCTCAAAGACTCATCCACTCCTACTGGACCCAGCCCCCTCCAAAAGATAGCATTAACCCCTTCCAATCACCTTCCACCAGACCCTTGTCTCACACACACACACACACACACACACACACACACACACACACACACACACACACACACATTCTATCATATGGAAGGAAGACCAAGTTTCCAGTACATGGGTCTCTGGGGACAAACCACATCCAAGCCTTAGCAGGAACCTTACCAATTGCACAGTCCCCAAGTTACCCTTCTGTGTTTTGGGCTGTACCTGCTTCCATGTTTAATTATTTTCACCCATCAAAATCGCTCCCTTTCTAGCTGAGAAAAAGGAAGCCCTCTGGCATGCCTAAGATCTTCCTGCCAACTGCAAGCAAATGCCCCTTCCGCCACACTCACTCTCTGCTGCCATCTGCTGGGACATTTCTGAATAGCATCTGAATCTATACTGACACAGCAGGAACAGCCCTGCCTAGAGTTTCACACTGTAAAATGAAACATGGTGACTCTGACACAAGCCTTAATCCTTCCAACCTGCTCCTATTGTTAAGACAAAGAAAGGTCCTAGGTAGTTGTTACACATAATTAGGAAAAATTATGATATGCTAATACTGCCGAGTATGCTCTTGTTTAAAAAAAAAAATCTCAAATTCTACCTGAAGGCACCCTGTCTTCACTTGAGCCTTTGTGTTCCAGATTCATTAAGATCGGAGACAAAGAGTGTGAATTCAATCCCAAGTTCCGGTTCATCCTTCACACCAAGCTGGCCAACCCTCACTACCAACCTGAACTGCAGGCTCAGGCTACGCTGATCAACTTCACGGTGACCAGGGATGGCCTGGAGGACCAGCTGCTGGCCGCTGTGGTCAGCATGGAGAGACCAGACCTGGAGCAGCTGAAGGTGTGTCAGAGATCCCCTGAGGAAGGAAGGAATGCTCTGTCGCTAGGTCATGCAGTGCAGCCACGGTGGGAACGGGGATGGGCAGTTTTTCCTGGAATTCAGTAGAGTGGGTTCTTCAAGACACTGGACGAGTCCAAACCCGACCTAGTCACTTGTGAACACCCAGTTGGGAAAGGAAGAATGTAGTGAGCTGAAGAACAGAAGCCGGCTAGCTGAGAGACTGGACATTCCTGTCCCCAAGAGCAGGGCCTGGCTAAGTAGGATTAAATTATGCCTGGGTGACAGAAACAGGCTCATCCTTGCTGGGGTTGTGTCAGTTCAAGGCACAGGTTGGGCAGCTTAAACAGCAGGAACCTAGGTCCCATCAGTTTCGAAGGCTGGGAACCCAAGGCCATGGTGCTGGCATAGCTATCCCTTGTAAGGTCTCTCTTCTTGGCTTGCTGCCAGCTGCCCGCTCACATGACCTCTTATATGTATGTGGAACTAGGAGCCCCTCTCTTGTGATCCTTCTAGGAACGTTAATCCCATCTAGCAAGGGCTCCCCTCTGACACCTAAGCACTTTCCTATAGAGTCAACTGGGAGATTAGAGTCTTAGCATACAAATTTGGGGGAGCGTAGTTCAGTCCATAGCATGAGCATGCTTTCCTTCCTCTCTTTAAATGTGATCAGATTGGATAATACAGGTCAAGAAGGGAACCCAACCTTCCACAGCATATGTGAGATTGAGTTCAAGGATCCCCATTATTATTCAAGAGACGCCCCTAGAGTCTAAGTCCACAACAAACAAGATTATAGCGTGGAAAAGCCAGCAGAGCCCAAGGAAGACCATGTAGCTGTCTATAGAGCTTATAGCCAAACAAAGGAACAGGGAAGCAGAAATGCAAACTGAGAAATAATGTCTTTTTAGCTACTAATAAGAATTTTCAGGAAATGAAACAAGGTAATACGGAAATGAAGGAAAACAAGGAAATATGAGGCCCATGGCGGCACAGCTTAAGGGGACTAATTTAAATGGTAGGCTTCAGAAAGTTTCTATGAGGTGTTGGCATCTGAGCTAACTCCTAAGTGATCTGAAAGCCTCTGAGTGCAGAGTGTTCCCAGAAGAGAACAAGTGCTAGACTAAAGTCTGACTTTGTAAAAGACAGAACAGGGGCTGGAGCAATGGCTCAGCAGTTAGGAATGTTTGTACAAGAGTACACATGTGCACAGACAGACACACGTACACATGATTTTTAAAAAATTCTTTTTTTTTTGTTTTTTTGTTTTTTTGTTTTTTCGAGACAGGGTTTCTCTGTGTAGCTTTGCGCCTTTTCCTGGAACTCACTTGGTAGCCCAGGCTGGCCTCGAACTCACAGAGATCCACCTGGCTCTGCCTTCTGAGTGCTGGGATTAAAGGCGTGTGCCACCACCGCCCGGCTGATTTTTAAAAAATTCTTAAAAAAAAATATAAAGAGACAGAGGTAAGGTTCGGCATGGCTAAGAGCCCTGCCATGTGCATTGTTCTTGACTGGGATCAAAAGGTTTACAGGTCAAAGATGCTAGAGCTACCTGGAGTTAACTCCAGCATACAAACAGAAGGTGCCCAGGGCTTTAGGATACCAAGCATAATGATTGCAAAGCAAAGAGGACCTGAGAGCCGCTCAGATTCCAATCCCACCCCAGCCTTCCCTCAAGGAAGGCTCTTGTTGGAACTGTATGAGGCAGATGGGATTGTCTTTCAAGTACTTCTTTCTTGTTCATCTGATGCTAGTGAAATGAGAGCTAAAGCATTGTTCTGTTCTCTGTTCACAAGCTCCCTTTAGGGACCTTAGCACTGCTCTAAGCACAGCATAGAACTCCTAGGTGTGAGGACTGGGAGGCACAGATTACTAACATGGAAAGAGCACAAAATAGCCCACGGTCTCCATTCCAAATCAGTGGGGGATCATATCCCGGAACCCCTCAGATTCCAGACCAGCTGATATTCCAGTCCCTTATGTAAATGATGTGGCATTTGCATAGAACATGCCTACATCCTCCTCTATGCTTTAAATCACCTCTGGATGACTTCCAACACTTACTGCAACATAAATGTCACAGTGATCACTCATAGGCTGCTGTTCGGGGAAAAATGACATGAGGCGGTCTGGGCATGTTCAATCCAGCTGCAACTTGAATAGTGGTTTCAGGCTAGGCTACTTGCATTTTCACACACACACACACACACACACACACACACACACACACACACACACAATCATGGCGGCCAACTGCACAGCTGCAGCTTGGACCCCACTCACCTGCTCACTTCTGCTCACTTCTGCTCACAGTCAAAATCACTCTGCTGTTTTCACCTCAGTTCACCATCTCTTCAGGGAGGAACTCGCCCCTTCCAACATTTATTTATTCAGGCCTATCCTAGAGTGGAAAGCTTGGCCACCTCTACCTGACTCTTCCTTGCTTGATGTTTACAGTCGGACCTCACAAAGCAGCAGAACGGATTCAAAATCACCCTCAAAACCTTAGAGGACAACCTGCTGTCTCACCTCTCTTCCGCCTCGGGGAACTTCCTGGGAGAAACAGCCTTGGTGGAGAACCTGGAGGTCACCAAGCAGACTGCTGCGGAGGTGGAGGATAAGGTACACCCACTCTGAAGGGTCAGAAGGCCCAGGCCGGATGTTCCCTTGGTTTCCCCTCCCTCTGCTTTCAGTACCTGAATCTGGCTTCTGTTTCCCTCTTTCCACGTTTCTTCTAAGAAATCCACACACATGGATGGCTAGCACTGCTTAGATATAGTAGGTTGTCAAGAAAGACATAAAGCTGGGAGACAGGCATGTTGAGAGTGATATGGGGGGTTGGAGGAGGAAAATGGGGGGGGATGGATATAATCAAATTCATTATATACATGTATAAAATTCTCAAGAATAAAGAAAAATTATAACTTTTTAAAGTTGTTTTAAAAATCCAGGCACAATCCTGGAGTGGCCTCTGCCCATCCTGGGTTATAGAGCTCCCACCTTCTAGAAAAGACTTTTGATGTTTCCACTTCACAAATAGGTCCCTGATTTTTCTTCAGGGAATAGTGCCCACAGAGAATGCCTTAGGTTGTGGAATAGCCCCAAAATTGTATAAATTGATAATCCAGATGTGATTGTGTCCTAAAACAATCACACTGCACTGACAGAAAAATCTGTCTGTTTTTAATGAGAAAATGTTGTTAACATCTCATCCAACTCAGCTCTGAACAATATCATCCTGTGAAACAGAGTACATGGCTTCCTTCTTGCATAGCATTTGGGAAGGAAGGCTTTTTCCCCCCATGGAGACTAGGAAATGACTTGATGCAAAAGGGACTCAACTCCTCACCCTTCCCACCAACTGCCAACCATGCACAGACCCTTCTGCATTCCCTTACTGCCCAGATCAGACCAGTTATGAAACTGGGGCTGATGAGGACTTCACACATCTGGGATGGGGACAGGAGCAATATGTCTCCAAATGAGTGTGCTGACTGCCCCCTTCCTGGGAGTCTTCCGAACAGAAAAGGCTTTGTTCCAAATAGGGACAAAAGTAGAAAAAATAAATGAAAAGTGGATGGAGTTGCAGTTCATTAGGAGAACACTTGCCTCATGTGCACAAGGCCCTGTGTTCAGTCCAAAGTGTTAAAATCAGAACAAGTGAACAGTCACAATCCGCCAGGGCATTCCCAATCTGAGCTAAGAAATAACTGTGATGACTTTGAGAAATCCAGCCTAGCTCAGTGGCTGCTCTGTGACCCAGGTTTACCATCTGTTATCCTGGCAGCTTGTAAAGTGTAGAAAGTCCACAGCTCTAGGCCAGAGAGACCCAGTTCACATAGAGGGAGTAGGACAGAGGGTGGAACCAGCCTTGCCGATCTCTCCTGCCTCTTCATCCTTATTTTCCCCATATCTACTGTAAAATCAATGAACCACTGCCTGCCACATATCATATGGAACTTTCTCATCTAGTTTGTCCCCCCTTTTAGAGGGTCTTTTTTTCTTTCTCATCCATCTAATAGATACTTATTTGGCAGCTGTCATATTCCAAATTCAGTGACAGCGGTTGGGAATATAACAAGCAGCATGTGTGGGTTGTAAGGGAAAATGGGCATTTGAGGAAAGGCCCTGAATTCACAACAATGAGAGAAGATGTTTAATACAATGGAGCTGCTGAGAATGTCCACTTCAGGGTAGATGAAAAGCTTGTCTATGGAAAAATGGAGAATCGGTTTCCAGTGTCATAAGGCATAAGGGGCAAACATAAGTCTACATTTAGTCTGTGGGTCCATGTATGCAACTAGGAGATGCAGAGAATTAGAGAGTGGGGACAGGCAAAAATGAAGGTAGCTCATTCCTGGTTGTCTCTATAAACAGTCATGGGGGCTTAACAGCAAGGGTGTGTTCTGAGAAGTGCATCACTTTGAGGATATCACAGTATGCTTACATAGAAACCAGCACAGTTAGGCCATCATTGGACAGTGTAACTATGGGACTCCATCATATATGCATTCTGTCCTTGACCAAAATCATTATGTGATTGTACTTTGGGAACCCAGGGGTCAATCTTATCTGCTACAAGTGAGGGAGTAGTGATGAGATATGAGGTTGGGTGAGAAGTGAAAATTTATAGTATTTATGGAAAATTAGAATAAAACTTGACTAGAGGCATAGAGATTAATTAGCAGTGATAAGCAGTTGGGGCATTGAAAACTAAATCTGTAATGACACTGACTGAAAGTGATTTTTTTAATGCTCTTCTGAGGTTCAGCTACTGAACTTAACCAATTTATATTTATTAACATCATTGGCATATGGCAGTTGAGTTTTTCTTAGAGTTTCTTATTAATTAGCATTTTCTTCTCAAGCATTACTGCTTGTGTGTTCTTCAACCTTTCATCCCCCTCCTAGTGAGTTTGAAATAGATCATAAGTTCTTATAGACTCTAGGCTATAGGATGCTAGAACTATATGTGTGGGGTATCTCTTATCAAACCCCCTCTCATTACTCCCCCACTGTGCCTGCTTCTGGCGATCACCAATCCACTCTCTGCTTCTATGTCATCCATTTTCCAAGCTTCACAAATTAGTGGAAAACACAGAGTGTTAGGGTTTCTGTGCCTGGCTTGTTAACACAGTTGCCTCTAGTTTCATCTACTTTGATACCAATAGCGAACCACAGTCCTCCTTTTAGCTGAATAATATTCCATTGTGGCTATCTACCACATTTCTCTTTATCTGTTCATGTGTCAGTAGGCATCTTGGTTGATTCTATAAATTGGCTATTGTGAATTGAGAATGTTGTTTGTAGTAAACTACCTCTTGACACATGGATTTCACCCTTTAGATATGTGCCCAGTGGTAGATCATAGATGAGCTGTGCAATTTTATCATCATGCTTGTTTGTTTTTTACTAGTTTCCATATTGACTACAGTACTTTTAAAGATATTTATTTATGATTTTATGTCTATGAGTGTAGGTATGTATATATGTATGTGCACTATGTGGACTCCTAGTACCCTGCAGAGCCAGAAGTCAGTACCAGATTCTCTGGAACTAGAATTATAAACAGATGTAAGCTACCACATGGATGCTAGGGACCAAACCAGGATCCCTTGCAAGAACTTCAAGTGTTCCAGCCTTGGCTATAGTACTTTACATTCCCATTAACGATACATAAAAATTTCCATTCTACATCTCTACGAAAATGTTCATCTTTTTTCTTTCACTTTAAAAGATTTATTGATATTAAGAAAATGAACCATTTTCATAAAACTTTTTGTTTAAAATTTTTCATTGTTTTTAAGAATTTCATACAATATATACAATAAAATATCATATTGTGGTAGTTTGAATAAGAATGACCCCCACAGACTCATATATTTGAATGCTTAGTCACCAGGGAGTGGCACTATTTGAAAGGATTTTAAGGATTAGGAAGTGTGGCCTCCTTGGAGGAAATGTGTCACTGGGGGTGGGCTTTGAGGTTTCAAAAGCCCATGGCAGGCCCAGTACCACCACCACCACCCCCCCGCCAGTCCCCCACCCCCTACCTAGAGATCAAGATGTAGTTCTCAGCTACTGATCCAATACCTGCCTGCATGTTACCATGTTCCCACCATGATGATAATGGGCTAAAACTCAAACTGCAAGGAAGCCCCAAATTAAATGATTTTTTAATGAGTTGCTTTGGCCATGGTGTCTTTTCACAGTGATATAACAGTGATGAAGGCACATGTCTACCCCCTCATCTCCCCTGAAACTTCTCCCAAATTGTATTACTCCATCAAACCCCTTCTGGCTTCATGTCTTTTTACGCTTCGATAATCAGTAATTCCAGTTAGAGCTGCCCATATGCTTGAGGGTGGCTCTATTCCCTGAAACATGGAAAACCTGGGTAGTGGTTGATATCCTCAGTAAAGAATGACTCTCCCTCCCCAGCAACCATAACCACTGCCAATAGCACCTCAGTAAGGGGTGGAATTTAGAGATCATCTACTCTGTCTATACCAAGATCAGGCTGGCTCCATCTTCTGTAGCTCCTGTGAAGGTAACCATAGCTGCTGTGAGTTAAGGATGCTGATAGCTATGTCATGTCCAGAAGACAGCATTTCACAATACTCCCCAACCTCTGGCACTTACACTCTTTCTGCCTCCTCTTCTGTGATATCCTGTGAGCCTCGAATGTAATATAGATGTGTTGTTTAGGGATGAGCACTCCATTTCTTCTTCTCAGCACTTTGACCATCCATGTATCTCTCCATTGACCCCTATTTACTGCAGATAGAAGCTTCTCTGACTAAGGCTGAGAGTCCAGGTCTATGAGTGTAAACATGAATATTTAGAAAGCGTCTTGATACTGTGACCATTTGGCAAAACCACAGCAGGTTTTAAGTCTTTGACCTCTCTGGCCATGGGTTTTGATGAGGATTAAAGTAACAAGCATGAATACACCCCTACAGAGCAGGCCTCAAATCCGACCAGAAAGTGGCTAGTTACCCCATAACAGCCGTGCCACTATTGCATGAGTGGACATGTCTCACCTGGCAGGTCAACATTGCAGCATGCAGGGTCAGACACTGGGTAAGACCACTGGTGCCTTTTCTCCGCAGCAGTCACATCGTACTTTCCAGTACTATGAAAGCTAGCCAGCAGGGACAAATTTTCCTGTTTGGTTTCAGTTGATATTTCTATGTCCTTCCAACCAGCATGTGCTACCTTCAGCAATAAGGTCTTGCCACATAATTGTGGTAAGGGCAGTAACAATAGCCTGTGTTGTTTGGGGGATCTCAGAGGCATCTTTAAATAAGTAACTTGCAGGGAGGTAGCCCATACCTTGTATTGTGATTTTCATGTTAATCAGTATTTTCTGGGATCAACATTATTTACCTGTGCAGAGTAATTCCATCCCAAGTCTCTTTTTTTTTTTAAGTTTTATTTTGAAATTAGTATACTAACTACTGTGTAAAATAAGGCTTTTGCATATATCCTTGGTTTGAGCTAATACTAATTCTAAGTAGAGTGAGATTGTTCCTTCTTCACTAATTTTTTTCTTTATCCTTCTTCTCTTAGACTTTGAAGATTTGAAAGGCACTCACTGGGTTTTATTTATACATTTTTGCTTAAATACAAAATGTATTTCATTTTAAATGTGACTTTAGTATGTATGTTTTAATGAGGTATAAAATTAAGCAATATATCTAGCATCTTCCAAAGCAATTTTCAAGTACTTTAATTTTAATCATTTCCTTGCATCTTTTGTTATTATTTCATAATGTATCTTGTGGATTCTTATTGCTGTTAAGAGTCTGTTTTCAGTCTAATTACTATTCTTTTATAGGTACATTATACTTTCTGATTGCTTTTAATATGTTATTGTCATCATTGATGTTTTAAAATTTCACTATATGGTAGAGATGCATCCTTATTTATCATTCTTAAGAAGGATATATTTTTTCCAAATAAGAACTCTAATATTTTGTTGATTGGGGGAAATTCTTAGTTTCAAACATTGCCTTTTCTTCATTTTCTTTATTCTCTACATGTTTCTGTTAAATTAAGATTTCCTCATCCTACCTGCCAGTTCCTACAAACTTTTACAATTTCCCATCTTTGTGTCTTTCTGAGCTGATTTTAACCATTCTTCAGACCTTCCTTCCAGTTTCCTTATTCTATTTTCAACTCTATATAACTCATAAACCATTTCATCTAAATAACTGTATTATTTTTAGGCATTCTTATCAGTGCTTTTTCAGGTAAAACCTGCTCCCTTTTGGAATGTCTTTGCCTCAGGCTTTCTTGGGATCTACTGTTCTTAAATACACTTATTTAATTATTTTTTAGGTTGTTTAATCCTCTTCAGTTCTTGATGTACTAACCTTTGTGAAGTTCTTGCTTTTGGTTTTTGTTATTGTTGTTTCTTAATGGCAGCAGGAGGGGAGGGGAGCAGTGTTTTAGAAGAGGTCTTTGTTTTTGAGAGCCTGGATCTTATTGTGTGGCCCAGGCTGCTTGATCTTGTGATTCTCCTGCCTCAGCCTCCCAAGTGCTGGGTGGAAGAAGTCTTCTAATTGACTCCTTTGGTAACAATTCTAACTTAGTTACTTTCTGTGGCTGTGATGAAACGCCATGACCAAAGCAACATATAAAAGGAAAGCATTTAACTGGAGGCTCATGGTTCCAGAGGGCTAGAACCCATAACAATCATGGCAGGAAGCATGGCAGTAGGCAGTCAGATATGATGCTGCAGCAGTAGCCGAGAGAGCTTATACCTCAGTCAATGAGCACGAAGCAGAGAGAGTTTACTGGGAATTGCATGGACTTTTGAGACCTCAAAACCCACCCCCAGTGACACATCTCCAATAAGACTGAACCTCCTGTTCCCAAAATTTCTACTGACTGGGTACCAAGAATTCAAACATATGAACCTATGGAGGCCATTCTTATTCAAACCGCCACATTCCATTCCCCAGCCCCCAAAGCTTAGGGCCACATAATCATGCAAAATACACTTAGTCTAATTGCAAAAGTCCCCATAGTCATTCACAGTTTAAAAGTCCAAAGTCCAAAATTTCTTCTGAGACTCATGGCAGTCTCTCAACTGTAATCCCCTGTAAAATCAAAAAGCAAATTGCATGCTTCCAACACACAATGGCACAGGATAAATATTAACATTCCAAGAAGGAGGTAAAGTGTCATAGTGAGGAAATGCTGGACCAAAGCAAGACTGAAACCCATCAGGGCAAACGCTAAATCCTGTAGTTCTATGTCCAATATCGACAGGCTTTTATGGCTTTTCCCTTCCAGTTTTGCTGACTGCAACACACTTCTCTCTTCTTCTGGTTCCACTTCTGTCTGCAGCTGTCCTTGACAAATATCCCACGGCTCTGGCATGTCTAACATCCTGAGGTCTCCAATATAATTCACTTTCTCAGCTCTACACAATGGCCACTCTGGGTCTCAATGCAGGGACCTCGCAACCATACACTTGGTCTCTGCAGTTTTCCTTAACCACGGAAGACTCTACAACCCTTTACTCCTACATCCTTCATGACTCTAAAGCCAGAGCCACATGGCCCATGCTACCAAGCTCTGCTGCCAGCTTGGGATAGAACCTCACCCTCATTTTTTATTTACATTTGCATACTCTTTGATTCGTTGATGCACACAATTTCTTTTTTACAAATTGCAGGATTAGTTGGGTCTTGCAATGAGAGCACCACTCCCTTTATGCAATTTCACATCAGACCTCTTCTTATCTTTTCAGAACAAGCATTGGCTCCAACATTAAATCTCCTGGTTTTCTTTTCAAAATTACCATGCTGTGTTTCTTTTTGCCCTGCTTGCTCTTTTTCATTTTAAATCTTTATAAGAGTGATTACTAAAAACCAAGTGAAAGAGCCAGTATTAGGCAATCTTGAAATGTCCTCTGCCAATGAAATTTGTCCCATACTCTTCAATTTAGGCTCAGGCAGATTCTTAGTACAAGGGCAAAAATAAGCCACATTATTTGTCAAAATATCACAAAGAATGGTCTTGACCCAGTTACTAATAATTTTTCCCCTGAAATATTTTGAGCTGGGCTTTCATAGTGGACTATATCAGCACTTATTAATGCTTTCTTCAGTGCTCTTATTAAAATGGCCCATTAAGCCCTGTTTACAATGTTCAACTACTTTGCTAGTCCAAAGTCCCACAGTCCTCCAAAAAATAGCATGGTCAGGCTTGTCACAACAATAGCCCACTTTCTGGTACCAACTTCTGTCTGTCGTACTTTCCTATTGCTATGATAAAATACTATGACCAAGGCAACTTATAAAATAGAGCATTTAATTTGGGGCCCACCGTTCCAGGGAGTTAGAGTCCAATATGGTGGGGAACAGAGTAGCAGGAGACCAGGCATGGTGCTGGAGCAGTAGCCAAGAGCTTAGTTCTTGATCTCCACAGGTCAGAGGTAGCTATCTGAGAATGGCATGGTTTTTGCAAAGCCCACTGTCAATGACAAAGCTCATCCAGCAAAACCACACCTCTTCATCCTTCCCAAACTATTTCACCAACTGGGGATCAAGTATTCAAACACATGAGCCATTCTCTACGGGGGCGTTCTCATTCAAACCACCACACCTCCCAACTGTAATTTGTAATCATTTGATCTGAGAACATGAATCATGATCATTGCTCTTTCCTGATGGACTCTCCAGCTACCAGTAGTTTTATTCTTTTTTGGAATCTAAGGACAAAACAAGCTGAAGGCCATGTGTAGAGACACAATCTTACAGCAATAGATATTCCAGATACTTAAATCTCTTCTTCTTATCCGTGACAAGAACTCCTCAGAAAACAAAATATCCCACTGAAAGAGATTCTCCTTGTGACTCACTATATAACTACTCCATTTAAATTAAGGAAAGGGCTAAGTTTGTAGCTCAGTGGTGAAATACTTTCTGGCATGTACATGACTCTGTAATCAACTCCCTGTGTCATACACACACAGGCACACACACTTGTGTACTCACAAGAATGAAAATTATGCTGCACTTCCTTCCTGGACTTCTACTTCTTATTTTAGCATAAGAATGTATTTCTATCTCTTATTATATTTATACTTACTTACAAATAAGTATATGCATTTCTTGGTTTTCCAAGGAATCATCCCCTTAGACATGGTGTTTAGAGTTTCCCATACTTCCCAACTCCAGGAAGTATGTCACCCTCAACTGACACCCTCATTGCCATGGAAAACTAGGAGTGTATCATCTTTTACACTTGAGTTCCACTAAGGAATACCATAGTGACTTTTTGAGCTTCTACCTACTTAACATCACCCCAGTTTACTGCACTCCATAGGCAGACAAGTATCTGCTCACATGGAAGGCCCAGGCTGCTTCCCTGAAGTCCTGATTGGTTTGAACAATGAACTGCTATTTGTGTTTCCAGGTTCAGGAAGCCAAATTAACCGAAGTGAAAATCAATGAGGCTCGGGAGCACTATCGGCCAGCAGCTGCCCGGGCATCTCTGCTCTACTTCATCATGAACGACCTCAGCAGGATCCACCCAATGTACCAGTTCTCCCTCAAGGTAACTTTCACCTGGAGTTTTTCCCATAATCATAATATAGCAAAATAGCACCATCAACCTAGGGCACCATGAGAGCTTACCCACATATTCCATTAGTGATGGCAGATCTTCCAGACTGAAGCCAGGGGAGACTTTAGACCTATGGGACAGACCCCACCTCTTTGGCTTCATCTTACATAACTTACTGTAACAGAAAAGGATGCTGCTGCAAATGAATCTTGGCCTCATTTGTTCATTAAGGTCACTGAATATCCATTAATACTGGATGATGCATATCAGAGGGTACCAAAGAAACAGAAGAAGTGTAAGAAGCTATTCTGTCCCCAAAGAGCTTAAAATGTAGTGGAGAAGATCCAAAATGTATATTGTTTTTATTGATGAAAGACCAACTCTAGCAATTAGGATGGGCCAGCATTAAATTACTTTTCTTATTATCCTAATATTCCCAAAGCTGCTACTTAGGGTTGTTAAAATACCCATAAAACTAAAGTTCTTAGCACATTTTAAGTGCTGACTAAACTAATCTTACTCATGAAAAAATAAAGACCTATAAATTTTTGGAACTCTCTGAAAGTACATCTTATCCCCTCGTGCATTCATCAAAAGACCATAATTAAAGAGGCACTAATATGTCATGGGGGGAGGTGAAGTTCTGAACAGAGGTTTGAACCAACAAGCAGAAAGGTTGTGCCCAAAGAGAGACAGATACAGAGACACAAACACAGGCATTTCCCTCAGAATGGAACATGCATGCACACAGAGAGCACACCTCAGTTTCATAAAATAGTTCCAGTTAAATCAACATGTAGATGCCAAGGCCAAGGTATAGGGTTGGTGACAAAAAAACTGAGAAATCTTTGGGCTTCCAATCCCTGAGGCTCATTGAATTGGAGATAGCAGGTCACCATTTCCCAGTCTCTCTCTTATAACCTTAAGTCTCTGCAGCTCAGATGAACTGTGTTTATGATATTTTGTGGTTTAAAAAAGAAACATAAGCTTATATTCATATCATAGGAACATGCAAAAGAATTATAAGATAGTAAAAAGGCCAGCATAAAAATGAGCATAAGCTAACTATGGGATGATGTCCTTAGTTCAGGAGTAGTTGGAAATCACTCTAAGTATCAGGAACCTGCCACAGTGATGCTTTCTGAAAACAAGAATTCACCTGAAACCTGTGACTATAAGTTTAAAAACAGGTTGTAAGTTGTTTTGCAGTGATAGCATTCTGATGCAGGAGGCTTGGAAGCATGACTTCTAAAAAAGGAAGAGGTCACCGGGCATGTAATGCCAACCTTAAGGTGTGGAACTGAGGCACACGGAATCATAAATTCAAGACCAGTCTAGTATGCAGAACTTGTCTAAAAAAAGAAAGGAGAGTGCAGGGCGGTGGTGGCGCACGCCTTTAATCCCAGCACTCGGGAGGCAGAGCCAGGTGGATCTCTGTGAGTTCGAGGCCAGTCTGGGCTACCAAGTGAGTTCCAGGAAAGGCGCAAAGCTACACAGAGAAACCCTGTCTCGAAAAACCAAAAAAAAAAAAAAAAAAAAAAAAGAAAGGAGAATGTATTTGTGGTGATATTGTATTCCCCAAAATATTGTGCACCCTAATAAACTTATCTGGGGTCAGAGAACAGAACAGCCACTAGATACAGAGGCCAGAAAATGGTGGCACACACGCCTTTAATCCTAGCATTCCAGAAGCAGAGATCTGCCTGAATCTCTGTGAGTTTAAAGCCACACTGGAAACAGCCAGGCATGGTGACATGAGCCTTTAATCCCAGGAAGTGATGGCAGAAAGCAGAAAGGTATTTAAGGTGTGAAAACCAGGAACTAGCCTGGTTAAGCTTTTAGGCTTTTGAGCAGCACAGTTCAGCTGAGATCCATTTGGATGAGGACTCAGAGGCTTCCAGTCTGAGGAAACAGGATCAGCTGAGGAATTGGCAAGGTGAGGTGTCTGTGGCTTGTTCTGCTTCTCTGATCATCCAGCGTTCACCCCAATAACTGGCCTTGGGTTTGTTTTTATTAATAAGACCTTCTAACAATTCGTGCTACGTGTATTTTCAGTTGTTTACTGACCAACTTGATCTTTAAAAACAGATTTAAATGTGTAATAGTTAAGTAGTTATGAAAGGATCTTGGGAAATACAAAACAACAGCTGGAGGGGAGGGAGGGAGGGAAGGAGGAAAGACAAACAGAGAAAACTCTTCGGGACTCTATGGGCACAGGGCACAAATGTGGTGCACAGATATACATGCAGGCAAAAGATCCATACAGACAAAAATTTAAGTGAATAACTCTTTAAAAATAGTTACAATTATGATAAAGAGATTTGAACCCAGCACCTAGTCCTAGCACATATGGGGCCCTGAATTTGATCTCTAACACTGAAGGAAGTAATGGCAATAGAGACTTCACATGACTCCAGGGTCTGGCAACAGTGCTCTCACTGTCCACGTGGTATGCGTTTGCTGGAGCTAAGGCTGCTGCTCCCTAGGCCACGTGTGCTCTCTATGGTGAGGCCCCAACCCTTTCCTTTCTGGTTCTATATGTCAGGCTCCTTGAAGCGTTTGACTATTAGCCCATTGTCTGAGCACCCCTTAAACTTTTTCTAGTATCTTTTAGGTATTAGCAGGACACATCATCCACTCAATGTTTTCCAGTGCCTGCACTAAGTAAGACATAGGTGGGATTCTGGGAAATATAAGCATAAGGGCCAGCCCTATTCTCAGAGTGCTCATATCATGTTCACATAAGTAAAAAGAATTTTTAAAAATACTTGGTTAGAAAATTGATTTAGCCCCTAAAAGTTTCAGAACAGCTACTGAGGATCTTTAAGGATAGCCAGAGTCCATGACAAAACTCTCTGTGAAGAAGAGTCCTTCTTGGGGGTGAATGTGAGGATCAGGCCCAGCCTCAGACCCTTTCACAGACCAACAGGGGGAGAAACTAGCAATGAAAGTACACTCAGTGTGAAGGAAAGACAAAGTGTAGCCAGGATTTATGTTTTCTCTAAGTATTTTCCTGGGTTATGAATCACTTTACTCAAATTCAGTGATTCCAGGTTCTTTACTGACTGCTGCCTTTGGATAGAATTTTAGAAGAAAGGGGCAGTAATGACCTGAAGAAAGCTAACCACCCCATTCTATGCACTTGCTCTAAGTGGAAGCCCCGCAGCCTCTAATGAGCTATTATTTCATTTAAAATCTACCAAGGGAAGGTAAACCTCACAACGGGTTAGGTCAAGTATGGGCAGAAGATTTGCTGAGATCATCAGCAAATGAAGAAAGCTCCGAGGACTTCATTAGCAAAAAACACCTCAGCACTGAGAGAGAGAGAGAGAGAGAGAGAGAGAGAGAGAGAGAGAGAGAGAGAGAGAGAGATTCATCTCGCATTCTTAAATGAAGAACACCAAGACTCAGACCTTACATAGCTTCCACTGGGGTTCAAATACTGATGTTAAAAAGACTAAAGGGTTTTTGTTTTCCTTCTTGGAGCCACAAAAGGAAAATAGAGGAAAGAGCAGAGATCTAAGAACTAAGAGTTAAGTCCAGTTATAACATACTGGTTTTTATTTCCTTTCACTATTCTCTCCATATCATACTTAAAATGTAGTATCCCAAATATTTATTTTTCTAAGAAATCACCAATTTTACAATGATAGGTTAATGGTCACATAATTTTAATTTCCTACTGTGCCCTTATTGTAGTTCAGAGAAGAAATTGAGGGGGTCTGTGCTCCTACCACTTCAGGAAGAGACAATGGCTCAAAAGATTCAAGGACTTAGGAGAATGAGTGCAAAGCTAATAGAAATAGACCTACGACATCTGAGATTTTGATAGAAAAGTCATAAACTGAAATAGTTCTCACTACCCACTATGTGCCTGGGTCAGTTTCAGAAAATGACGTTGTTTAGAACATGTTCTCTATGCCACAAGAATTTTGTCATCTGTTAGATAACATCACGAACTCAAATAGTCATTGTTGGCTGTATCACCTTTGTATTTAGATAATTATCCAATAAAAACTTACTGGATCAAGTCCTTTGGCTGCAGCACATTTGTTTTTCATTGACTTCACTAATCAGCATTCAATATGCGCATTTATTAAACCATTTTGTATTGCTAATAATATAGTACCACAGGCTGGGTAAGTCACAAAGATGAGAAGTTTATCTTGGCACACAGTTCTTGGTTCAAGGTCTAGAGGTTAGATCTAGTGACAGTCTGCTTGTTGGCAAAGTCCAGAAGTTACACAGGACATCACTTGGAACAGGAAGCATACCTCTGTGTCCTGCTCTCTCTTCCTATAAAAAGCTACCAAGATTCAGTCATGGAAGACCTACCTGTAATGACTTCATCTCCCAATGACCCCACCTCTGAATGCCATAGTCAAAATAAATGCCTACCCTCTTAAGAACCCAGGATAGGGATTAAATTTCAATTTGAGTTTCAAGAAGGACTAAGAGCTAATAACAGGTCAGGTCCCTCAGGAGATGTCAGATCCCCTGGGATTGGAGTTACAGACAGTTGTGAACAGCCATGTGGGTGCTGGGAACCAAACCTGGGTCCCCTGGAAGAGCAGCCAGTGCTCTTAACCTCTGAGCCATCTCTCCAGTCCCTAATAGCAGGGTGGCTTCTTACTAGTGTCTCTTCTTAGCAAGAAGTGCTGGGAAAAGCTTTCAATGAGTAGACTAGAAAATTAAAATCATCTTCACAGGAAAGAGGATTTTATACATCGCCTATGATTCATCTTCTCGCCTAGGCCTTCAGCATTGTCTTCCAGAAAGCTGTGGAGAAGGCAGCTCCCAGTGAAAGCGTCAAAGAGAGAGTGGCCAATCTAATAGACAGCATAACCTTCTCAGTGTACCAGTACACCACGCGTGGCCTCTTCGAGTGTGACAAGCTGACCTACCTTGCCCAGCTCACCTTTCAGGTAAAAGCAAATCAAAACTGTTTCCACAAGCCATATTTACCATTCAGTCAGCAAATGTTAAGGAAACCTCTTCTATTATCATTTCTCAAACAAGCCCAACCTGGCCAGTGTCCATGCGCTGACCCACCATTGTCCAACAAATGGCAAACACTGTTAATTAACCATTGTCCCACTCGGAGCAAACTTCCTTAATCATTGTGCTTTTTCCAGCTGAAACTGGATAATCTGAGATTCTTTTCAAATTGGTACTCCAGTGTGGTGGTATTGTGTTCCCCAAAATATTGTGCACCCAAATAAACTTATCTGGGGTCAGGGCACAGAACAGCCACTAGATACAGAGTCTAGAAAGTGGTGGCACTCACACTCTTAATCCTAGCATTCCAGAGACAGAAATCCCTCTGGATCTCTGTGAGTTCAAGGCCACATTGGAAACAGCCAGGCATGGTGACACACGCCTTTAATCTCAGGAAGTGAGCCTTTAATCCCAGGGAGTGATGGCAGAAAACAGAAAGATATATAAGGCGTGAAGACCAGAAACTAGAAGCATTTTGACTGGTTAAGCTTTCGGGCTGTGAGTAGCAGTTCAGCTGAGATCCATTTGGATGAGGACTCAAAGGCTTCCAGCCTGAGGAAACAGGATCAGCTGAGGAATTAGCAAGGTGAGGTAGCTGTGGCTTGTTCTGCTTCTCTGATCTTCCAGCATTCACCCCAATAACTGGCCTCAGGTTTGATTTTTATCAATAAGACCTTCTAAGATTCATGCTATGCTCCAGAAACCACTGCAAATCAATCAAATTGGCGCTGGCCGTACAGGGCTTTCTATCATTGTAGCTGCTGTATATTTGGGATGTCTCCAACAGCTTTGGTTCTTAGGAGCTTGGGAACTTAGGACTTGCCATGTTACTGCATCATTAGGAAGAAACCTTGATCTGCTACTTAATCCCAACATCAAAAAGCCTTGAAGCATCGCTTCTTTATACAGACCTTCCTCCCTTCTTAGAACTGGGATTTTTCAATGTATAAGTAAGTGTATATAGCACAGGCTCTCTGAGCCCAGGGCACTCTCCAATGCTAAAAGTCAAATAGCCTGTCATCCATTTGTGCTGTTTGTATGTTTCAATGTCTGAGTTCATGGGTGCATGCTAGCATGCCTATATCACTCGTCCTCTGTATTCCCAGCTGCAGCGCAGACAGCTTCACCTTCACAAAGAAACCTGGATCCCACCTCTCATAATGAATCCTATCCACAGCCAAGCCAAAGGCTTTCTGTCCTGTGCACACGCCTCTCTAAGTAGCCCTCCAAGCCCCTATACCTTCAATCCCCCTTGGCTAGAAAGTTCTCTCTGCCTGTTTCAATATCTCCGTCTCTTAGCTTCCCCAAGACCCCAAGACAGAAAGCTTAGTTGAATTAATCTTCCTTCTTCTGTCTGCTAGCCACTCCTCTACTTCAGAATCCCTTCCACATTATTGATTTATATATGCGTTTCTATTTTGCATATATTCATATGTCGCTTTGACACTTGCCTCAAATCATGTCGTTTGTATGTGTCATCTGCTCAATTAAATTGCAGGCACATACTCCATGGCTCTTATGATTGATATATAATACTTGCTAACCAAGATATATAGTCATCCTCTGTGTGCATTTAAGTCGCTCTGGTGTTTTGGCTGAAAACAGATGCACACAGAAGAAATTTGCATGAATATACACTTCCAATCCACCCTCTTTAAACAGCCAAAATTGATGGGCAAGCTCTCGAACTAAAGGCAGCAGTAATTACACTGAGTGACAATCCCCAAGATCTCCAGCCTCCGTGACCACAGCTGAAGAATCACAGGGTTATTTTTTTCAACATTGCAGATTCTCCTCGTCAACCAGGAAGTCAATGCAGCAGAGTTAGACTTCTTGCTTCGGGCTCCAGTACAGACAGGAACCCCCAGCCCAATGGAGTTCCTCTCCCACCAAGCCTGGGGAGGCATCAAGGTCAGTACCAACCCCCAGAAAAAGTCAAGTTCTCTCAAAGGCTTGACTTAAATACATGTCCTCATGTTATCAGTGTGTCTCTCTCAGAGTTCAAACATAGAGTTGTGTTGAACACAGATGCATTTTTCCCTTTCAAGTACCACCACAACAGTCTCATCCTCCCAAGCGTGCTGAGAAGAAACAAGTATGTTTTGGGGTGAGAGCTATCCCTTTAGCAGGGAGGGGGTGCCGAAAGTGCTGATGGGTTTTTTTTAGCCAGCTAAACAGTCTTTCATCTGCCAAGGCTTAGGGCTGGAATCTGGGCTCCTCAGATCAGCCCAGGGACTCTTATGAAGATGCTGTCCCACCACTTCCGGAAGTCAGGCAGGTACTAGAGCTCTTCTGGGTATCTCTGTTTATCTGGGCTGAAACTCCCAAGCAGAGGATCCTTTCCAACCCGTGACTCTCAGCACTTAAGAATAGCGCGTGTCTATTGAGTTCATTGAATATACACTACTATTTCGTCCTCTTGTCCATCTGGGAAATAGGTCTTGTTTGTTTCCGTTTCACATGGGAACATGAAACATAGGTCCTACCACTTTCAAATAGCAAATCTAGGACACAAATCTATGTTAGACAGATCAGTCTAGTTAGTATTTTATGAAAGTTGAAAAGATCACAAACTCTAAAGCGTTTTCAGTAGGGACTGATTCCACATTCAGAACCAGACCTGATGTCTGCCAGGAAATGAGGGATAAGTGACTTCCAGCTCCAGAGAGTCCACAGCTGCATGCTATGTAGGCAACTTTCTAGCCCATACCCATGGGCACATGTGGAATAGAATGTTTGTAAGATGAACCCTGCTTATGATCTCCCATGTTTGTTCTCACATTGTACAAATGTTTAATAGCACAAAAAAGTGTACATCTGAAGTAATATAATCAGCTTTCTCTATATTTCTTACTCAGTTTTTTAAAGTAATTGTGTATTCACAAGCAATTGTAAGAAATGATTCACAGATATCCCTCATACTCTGTTTCCTATAATGTCTAATCCTTGGAATACTGTCCTATGTTCTTTTATGGGTATGTGATGTATGTACCTGCGTATACTTGGTTTTATCATATGCACTCTTAAACATTTTATCAATTGATTTGGCTTGCTGTTGTGAATGGAATATCCCTTTATTTCTTTCCCAATATGTTTTTCCTCTTCTCATACCAGATTAGGCAGGTGTAATAATCACTACTATCAAAATTCAGAAAGTCCCGTTGTTACAAAGACTCCCAGTTGGCTCCTTCTACCCTGGGTACCAATCAACCACCAGCCTGTTCTCCATTTGCAGAATTATTTTTTACCTCAGGGATGTCATGTGAACAGAAACACAGTATATAACCTTTACAGATTGGACCATCCACTCATCCTAATTCCCTTAAGGTTAATCCAAGCCGATTTATACCCAGAATGTAATCATTTATAAGCATGCTGCCCACATCAAAGGAGTCATCTTGGGAAATTCAAGGCTAATTCTGCTAATGCTACTGTCACTCAAAATATTTCCCTAACTTCCTTCTTAAAGAATCTCTAGCTGTTCTTACACGGTCTTTCAGGACTGCGTTAGCTACCTTCCTCGTTGATGCACAACACCTGACAGATGAACTTAAAGAGTTTACTTTGGCTCCCAGTTTGAGTCAATCATGGTGGCAAAGTCATGGGCAGCTGGTCACATGGCATCCACAGTCCAGAAAACAGAGAGAGGAATACTGGTACTCCACTCACTTCCTCTTTTTTTAGTTAGCCCAGTACTTAGCACATGGAATGGTGCAGTATACCTTCAGGGTGGGTCTTCCCAACTCACTTAACCCAATCTAGAAACTTCTTTACAAGCATGCCCAGAGGCTCGTTTTCATGGAGACTTTAAATCCTATCAAGTTGTCAATCAAAATTAACCATCCCAATTCTAATTCTTGTCAAGTGGACACCCAGACACATCACCTTCAAGCCATAATCTTCCATTACTTGTCCCCAAAAGCTCTTGGCCATCTCATAATGCAAGATGTATTCAATCCATTTCTTAAAGTCTTCATAGTCTCCAAGAGCCCTAACACTATTCAAAAGTATGACTCTTTTGTGAGACTCACTTATCTCTTAACCATGAGCTCCTATAAAATAAAAAATAAATCACATACTTCTAGCATACAATGACAAGGCCCATCCCCAGCATAGGAGCAAAATAAGCTGAAAATGAGGAAATACATGTTTGGCTCACAATTTTAGAGGTTTCTGTCCATGGCCTCTTAGCCCCCATTTCTTTCATTTTTCTTCCTGTTTTGTTTTTATTTATCATTAGCACACAAAGTAATCAGTTTCATTATGGAATTAACACATGCATTTATTATTTTAAGACAGAATTTCACAATCCTCTGCCTCAACTTCCTGCTTGCTGGAATTAAAGATACACACATTTATTCTCAGCATTCCCATTGCTTTTGGGCCTGTGGTGAAGCAGTGCATCATGGGATAGAGGAAAGCTCATGGTAGGCAAAAAACAGAGAGGGAGAGGCCATTCACCCCTTCAGGGGCTGCACCTTTAGTGACCCAGCTTCTTGCCACTGGGCCTTACCTCCCAAACCTTCCTTCATCCCTCAATGGCTCCAGATATAACAGCCAATACTTTTAGAATGAGTCTTTGTTAGATTATTTAATAGTCAAACAATAACTATTATTAATGAGATATTTTGCTTTCACGATGTCTTTGAAACCTGCTGAATATTTTGCACATGGATATTCAACTCAGATGTTAACTTTTCTTCCAAAATATTTGTATTTAGACTTTATATTATTGTTGAAACAGTTGGCTCATACATCCAAATTGTTCCAAACACCCCTCTATAAGTTTTCTAATTACTAACGTGAGTTCAAGTTTGTGCACTTAAGCTGTAAAATCATTCAAATACAGTTGAAAATTAAGTCTCTGAGCCAGGCAAGTGGCATATGCCTGTATAGTCCCAGCTGTCTAAACTCTGAAGTAGGAGGATCTCTTGAGTTCAGGATGTCAAAGACAACCAAGGACTACAGAGAGAAGCCTCTTTAAAAAACCAGTCCCACCAGGTGGTGGCAGCACACACCTTCAATCCCAGCACTCGGGAGGCAGAGGCAGGTGGATTTCTGTGAGTTCGAGGACAGCCCAGTCTATAAAGTGAGTTCCAAGACAGCCAGGGTTACACAGAGAAGCCCTGTCTGAAAACAAACAAACAGTCCTTCCATCACACTAACCCTATCTCAAGTTCTCAATATTCCTCATGGCCAGTGGCTACCTTGTTGGACTTGGAAATCCTGACTCAGAGTCTGCTGCCTTTATGGAAATATGTTCTAAAAGCAGTTCTGAATGAACCCATGAGCAGAACAAGAGCAGCAATGGAGATGGACTAGTTCACACAGACCCTGATTCTGGCATACCTGGATCCAAGTGTAAGAGAGAGAGAGTGTGTGTGTGTGTGTGAGAGAGAGAGAGAGAGAGACAGAGAAACTATGTGTATATGAGTGTGAGTGTATTGTGTGTGAGAGAGAGTATGTATGTATATGTGAGTGTGTTATGAGTGTGTATGTATGAGAGAGAGAGGAAGAGAGAGTGTGTGTATGTGCATATGAGTGTAAGTGTGTGTGTGTGTGAGAATGTGTATATGTGAATGTGAGTGTGTTCTAAGTGGGTGTGTTGGGGGGGGTCCTCTGGCATGTTATCTAACTCTTTGTTTCCTTATCTGCAGAAGAACTATCATAACATCTTCCACAAAATGAATGTTCAGTAGTCAGAATCCACTGGTGGCTGTGGCAGTGTAGTCAGATGGTTTCTCTGGTCCCACCAGACCCCCACAGTCCCGTGGTCCACTTATAAAATAATCACTCAGAAGCTTATATTAATTATAATTCCTTGGCCGTTAGCTTAGGCTTATTACTGACTAGCTCTTACACTTAAATTAATCCATAATTCTTGTCTTATGTTTCACCATGTGGCTTCGTACCTTTTCTCAGTTCTGCCTTGACATCCTGATTTCTCTGTGTTTGTCTGATGACTCCTGACTCAGCCCTTCTTCTTCCCAGAATTCTCCTCATCTGTTTGTCCCACCTATACTTTCTGCCTGGCTACTGGCCAATCAGCATCTTATTTATCAACCAATCAGAGCAACACATATTCACAGCATACAGAACGCTACCCCACAGCATGGCGGTGTTTGCTTCACAGGCTGCTGTTGTCCAGCACTATATGCTGAGTTTCCTGAAATGATAGAACTGTACAGTTGGAGAGCCTAGAAATCGGAAGTGATGATGTAGGCAGAACCAGGCTGCCTCCAAATCCTCTGGGTAGGACTTGTCTTTGCATCTTCCAGTGTCTGGTAGCCTTTGGCATTCCTCAGTTAGGGGCCCAGAGACCCCGTCTCAGTCTTCAGCAGCACAGTCAGCACAGAGCTGCCTTCCCTCTGTATGCCTCTGTGGCTTTCTCCTTCTCGGAAAGGCCCCAGTCCCAGTGGATTAGGGCCTACCCTAGTAAAACCATTTTAAATTGAGCACACCTACAAAGACCCTATTAATTCTTTACATTTAATTTTATTGAAAGGCAAACTATGCTGGAGGATAATTCTTCACTATATCTTTTGAAGAACACAACTCATAATAATCCTGATGAGCAATTTCCCCCAATATAAGGGACATGCATGCTGTGGCTGATGCGGGTGTGCCTAATAGAATCTGTCCACAAAAAGAAAAACTTCCAGGCACTGGAAACTGCCCAACTGGACCAAATCCTGTTGACTTTCTCTGTATTCTCTCCCACTATGCCCTCCATGGCAAAAGTGAAGAAGGCCCCAAAGCAATGGGGCTGCTGCAAATGGACGTGCATATCTTTTTAATCCCAGCAGTCGGGATGCTGAGGCTCCCATCTTACACAGCTTACCTCAAGCTGGTCTAGAGGTTATTTCCACCCCTCCTTTCACAGAATGCCTTCTTGGCTTGGCTTGGCTTCCCTCTGCTTTTGTGTTTTGCTTTGTGGGCTGAGCTCATCTGGCTGTTTAAAGTCTTCTGCAAATGAGCAAAGCTTTATCTCTCCCTCTCTCTCTGAGTTTGTTATGGGGAACAACAGACCCAGGTCCATCAAACTCAGGCACAGCCTGGGATGTGCACAGGTGAGGCACAAAGCAATATGTGGTACATATCGTGGAAACTTTTGATGAATGCTTTTCCAGTGCACGCTTGGATTTTAGCCTAAAGAAACAAACTGAGTATAATTGAATAGGAGATAATAAAAAAAAAAAGAAGAAACATTTTAAAGGATTCTATCTAATGAGGAAGGTTGATTGCCTTGCTTCCTTCCCCAGAAGACTAATAAGCAGGTAATGAATGACATTTCTGTGATAAAATCCTGCTTTTATTGTGATCCTTTGTAAGGATGTTTTCAGTCCCCTCAAATGTTGAACTTTCAGGTAATAGGCATGTTCTGTTTCATTAGAAAAAATCTCATCTGGGCTGAATTTCTTTGTCTGCCTTTGAAAAGGCCCCTCACTGCCACTCTGGATGCCAATTTAGCACTGTTGTATTTTGCTGCACAGTCCAAAGTAATTAGGTTAATTAGTCATTTCCATTTAGCTTATTAGAAGGCTAGAAATCCCTTCCCCTCATTTGGGAGATTAAATGGTGCAATTGTGTTCACCAAAGAGCTTCAAGGATGTGGTTTCCGACCCAGGCCTGGCAACTGGGAGCTCTGGTCGTGGTGTAATTTGCTCTATTTTGTGGAGACACAGAAAGGGTAATTGGGCAGGAAAGGGTTAATGATGCTACAGGCTGAGAAGTGAAGAGGGGCAGCCTGGAAGTAAAGGAGAGTCAGATCCACAGCACACAGAGAGAATGACCAGCCCTAGCCCCATCCCCATCCCCATCCCCATCCCCTGCCCCTGCCCCCAGCCCCTGCCCCAGCTCCAGCCCTCCTGTGGCTATGCAGATGTCAGACTTCCTTAATTAAACACTTCCCAAAGGCTGCCCATGCCTGAGGAAGTTCTTGCCCACAGCTAACTCACAATCTTGTAGGAATTAGAGACAAAGAATGTGGCAGTTGAAATCCAACAGCTAGCAAACCTCCATAGTCTTCAAAGTTTTGTGTCTAGGCTAGAATATAAGATATGACACTTTAATGTGAGAAATCCATGGAGTCTGCTTAAAGGGCAAAGAAATTTATTAGGGAAGGAAAACTCACTAGACAGAATAGAGGAATTGTTGCAGGATCCTGGAAGGATGGGGCATGGTCCCATGCTGTTCTGCTTGAGATCATCCCAGCATCCAAGTCCCATGAAGGAGAAAAGAGAGTACTGGGCATGTGCATCCCAGGTCTTAAGGGTCCCAATTGACCATGCCCCAGGGGCATGTAACTTCAAGGTCATAGGCAGGTATAATAGTTACCTGCTACCTCACTAGGGGTGGTGCTTCAAGGTCATAGCTAGAACAGCTACCCACTACAGCACTTGATCCCCTGGCCTCATTTTTTGCATAAACAAACCAAAGTCCAAGAAAACTGCAAGTTCTGTGGGCTGTAAATGCTGGTGGTAGGACTGAACTCTGTGTCCCTGGGCCTCATCCACCTTTCCTCATAGCACCCCTCACCACTTGTCATGAAAGAAGGTATTTCTCACACGATGTAGCTGGGGTAGAATCAGTAATCTACAGAACCCTGGTGAAAAGATGTGTGTTCGTCCCCTCAGGAGAAGAGTGCAGGCACACCAAGGCCAGTGTCTGTGTCCTTCTGCAGCCTTCCTATGTCCTTGTTCCCAGGTAGGATTCTCTGCAGCCATCATGTTTTCACAATCCCATCTCACCTTCCAGGTTTGGGCCCATTTTTTATCCTTCCTTTAAAATGCATTCTCATTTTCTTGGTCTTTGTGCCAACCTAACAGAACCCTACATGTTTTCCAAGACTTCCCTCGTCTCCTTTCTCCCTAAAACTGAAAGCTACTTGAAGACATGTATCGATTTCCCCCCACCCCCACTACTGTATTCTGATTTGGAATGTAGTAGGACATTAATGCTGAAAGATTATATGACTGAATGGATGGATGGATTTAAATAATGATAGTTTTGAACTCCTTAACCTTCATTGCATTGTATAGGTGCTTTAGACCCTCATTCTACTGTTGGAGAAATGAAATATAAAGGCAGAGTAGAAGCACTACCCATCACTAAATGTATAAGGGGGTGGGTCTATGTCAAATCCCCACCGAATTCCTTTGCTTTATATCACTATGATGAAATACCTAACAGCACAGATTATGGTGGCAATATTAATTTTGGTTCATGGTGGTAGAAGGCTCAGTTCATTAGGGTGGGAAAGGTGTGAAGGACAGCTTGATTTACACCAAGGTAGACCAGAAAGCAGAGAGCAAGACAGAAGGTGGCCAGGGATAATATACCCACAAATATCCACTCCCAGAAACCTTCTTCCGACTAGCCCTTACTCCAAGTTTCCAAAATAATGCTACAAGCTGGGGGTTAAGGTTTCAAAACAAAAGCTATGTTTAAGCCGTAATCCCCACCCAAATTTTCAATATCAAGACTGATGATACCATAGATATATTAAGACAGTATAATAGGATTTACTACTCTTTGCATGTCCTGAAATGGACCATCTACTTTACATCCCTTACCTAGAGTGTTAGGGATCTTTGCAGAAGAAAGGATAGAAAGATCTCAAGAGCCAGAGGAAACGGTAGATAACTGCAACGGTAGACAATATTCATTTTCTGGACACAACAGGGCAGTTGCACATATCTCATAGTGACTGTGAGCACATGCACAAGGCCCATGTTGGCTTAACCAGACAAAACCCCAGCATGGAGGGAGAGAGGTGGGAGTTAGTTCCCTACCTGTAGGTCTATTGGCTTTTGATAGCTGCTGGGAAAGGAAGATTCAATTTTCTTTAGGAGGGTGACTTGTGGTAGGTCTGCCACACTCCAGGACAGGCACTATACTCAAGAGTATATGGGAAACACAACTTGGACTCAATTTGGGGGTAGGGAGAGAAAAAGAGAGACAGAGAAAACAAAGTTTGGTGTGCAAGTGTTACAGCTCTGAGGAGAAAGGTATCCTGACTGTCAGGGAGTCAGACTATACCTGTATCTGTGCTCGAGTCGGGGATGGTTTCCCCAAAGGAATGTAGCAATTCTGCTCCTCTCAGAGAGAGCCCTTACAACTAAGCTCTGCTCCACTCTGCTAGGAGAGTTTCCACCAGCAGAGATGTCCCTTGCTTCTCTGCTCTGGTGAAAATTTTTACTTCTGGGCTTCACTCTGCTAACGGGGAAAACCTCCTCAGAAATGTAGCAGTTTGCTCCTGCTCCATAAAAATTGTTACTCCTCTGCTCCCTCCACTAAGGGGAGTTTCCCAGCAGAGATGTCCATTGCTTCTCTGCTCCACACTACTCTGGTGAAAGAAGGTCTTCACCCAAAACTCATTCGAGAGATTTATTTATTTGGGAGAGAGGAATCCAGGAGAGTGGCTGCCTCTGCCAGGATGGAAAAGGGCTGAACAGGCACAGGGCTTATATAGGGCTTCTTAAGGCGGAATGTTTCCAGGGTGAAGATTTTCAGGGTGGCAATTAGTGGGATTTCAATCCCTGAGCTTGGATAAGCTCAGAGATGGTTGATTTTCCTGCTCAGGGATTGGTTGGTTTCTTGCTCAGTTGGTTGGGGGTGGAGGGGAGTCGGGGAAGTGCAGAGCCAGGGTGTGTTTCTTTGGCTGGCCTTTTTACCCTCCAGGATAGGTAGAAAGATGGGGGTGGATCTGGAAGAAGTTGGGGGAAGGAGATAAATATGATCAAAGTACTTTATACTACTGTCAGAATGAAGTCTTCTGGAAGGAAAAAGGGAGCTTCCAAGTAGTGCAAAAAAAGGCCAGCAATCCAAGAATGAAGACAGCATTGGGGTGGTAGGAGCTATGAATGGGCCAGGGTAGAGGCGCCTGTGCATGGACAGAGGATACACGATACAGGTTCCCTTCAGCTTCAGAGGAAGGAGTGCCCTGGCTTACTTCCTAGCCTTCCCAAATAGGAGGAGGAAGAAGGCATAAGATGCATGCTATCAGGAATCAGACATCTACAAGTTGAGCAATTGTTGAGTGGCAAGTTCAGCTCTGTGAACAGCTGTAAGTACACTGCAAAAATGATGCAAGGGCATCCTGCTCTAATCTACAAGCAGATGTGCTGTGTCTGCTGACTTTGAGTGGGACTTTGTAGAGCCTTAACAAATAAGAGGCATGACTGGCACTAGAAAAGGAAGGCGCCAAAGTTAGTGGAAAAGAGAACAGAATTGAGTTAGTAGAGTTGGGCACACACCCGAGGTTGATGCAGGAAAGCTCAAATGGGATGGGATGGTGAACGACACCTTGGAGAGGGGCATGAAATGAAGATGTGTGGTTCCTGTGTTCTGTATTTGAAGTTGATGCTTATGGACCAAGCAGTCCGTGGAAATGCTGCATTGACATTCTAGAGACATTTGAGAGATGGATGGACAGTGTGGTCGTACAGTGAGTATGAAAATGCAACGAAGCCTCTCTGACTTAGGTGTTGGGGCTCTGGGACCTCAAAAACTGCAGCACCTACTTTGACCCATTTCCCATGGAACAGTGTGCTGCTGGGTGTGACCCAGTCACAAACATTTTATTTGCAACTGCTGTATGGTATTGGTAGGCAGTGTGTTATGGATGAGCTTGCATATAGTCTTCCTCTTTATTGACTTTTTCTAGAGGGAGAACCAAGACTCCAGACCAGACTATGAATGAGACCTGTTTGTGCAAAGAATGCCACTTGCCTCTCAGCCCTCTGCCCCCAATGCACAGCTGTCTAGAGAAACTGCATTTTAGAACAAGATTCTCTGACATTCCCTAGGCCCTTTCATCAATGGAGGAATTCTGCAATCTGGATCGAGACATTGAAGGCTCTGCCAAAAGCTGGAAAAAGTTTGTGGAGTCCGAGTGTCCTGAGAAGGAGAAGTTCCCCCAGGACTGGAAGAACAAGTCAGCCTTGCAGCGCCTCTGCATGATGAGGGTCATGAGGCCTGACCGGATGACCTATGCCATGCGGTAGGGGGCAGACTACAGACTCTGGGAAGGCATGTGTACAGGGCAATCTTAGGAAGACCAGCCTGGCATAGCTGAACTTCAAGGCCATGTTCATATAGTAATGGGCACCTTTGTACCAAGACTAAAACCCATGAGACCAGTTGACTTGGGTATGGCATCTGTTTTAGGTATGCCACTGGTTGTCTTGATGTCTTAATAGAAAGTTTGGGGGAAGAGAGATATTCATCAATCTCAGTATTGAAAAAGATGCCAATCACCAGTAATATGAAGAAAGATGGAGGGATCCAGAAAGCATGTGGAGATTCTACTTTTAGCATCACAGAAACAGAGAGAGTGAGGTGGTTATATCCTGAGATTGATAAATAGATGGCAGAGAATCAATAAGGATATTTGACTTCTAACTTCTCTGAGAAGTAGGATGATCAGCTATATGGAGTTAAAATCAGAGAATGGAGAAGGCTTGAAAAGAGGTCTGTGGCTAGAGAGATGGTAATATATACCAGGCAAGTGTGAGGACCAGACTCTGGAACCTCAGAACCCACACACGCGCTGGATGGGTGTGACAGCCTTCCTGTAGGCCTAGTGAATGGGCACAGAGACAGGGATTCCCTAGAGCAAACCAAATCAAGCTAGTCAGAATCAGTGAGGTCTGGGTAGGTACCAGTGAGAGACCCTGTCTCAATATGTAAGGTGGGGAGCAATTGAAAAAGCTGTTTAATGTCAACTTTGGCCCTCCACAAGGACATGCACACATATGTATGTGCACTCATACATATGCATGTACCCACATGTATGTGAACGTGCATCCATGCACACATACCACACATAAGCAAAAAAAAGAACAAGAATCTGTGAAAATGAGAAAGAAGGGGATAGAGATATAGCTCAGTCGGCATAATGCCTGCCTAGCATGCATGCAGCCCACAGCTAGATCCTCAGCGCCACATAAACTAGGTATGGTGGCACAAGCCTCTAATCCCAGCACTCAGGAGGTAGAGGCAGGAGGATCATCAGAAGTTCAAGGTCATCCTTGGCTTCATCGGAAGTTTGAGGCCAGCCTGGGATACAGGAGACCCTGTCTCAAAAGAGAGAAAGAACAGGAGAGGGGGGAGCAAATGATGGAGGGATGGAGGGAAGCCGAGGAGAAATAAGACAGAAGTATGGCCAGGGAAATGCAAAAATTCCCAAAGCTACATTTGTAGTGGTGCCAGACATCCCCACTGGATGTTTTTCCCCCATAGATGTAAGAGTCAGAGGTACAAGGCTCCTAGGCTAAAGTTCCATTGACTTCAAAGCATTGAAATAAGAGTTGGGAAAGGCAGGTTGGGATATGATTAGAAGTCAAAGGCCATGGAGTCTACAGAGGCAGAAAGCAGCTTAGCAACCACTTGGAAAGTATCTGAATGTGAAAGTTCTCCCTGGTGCAATGAAAATATTCTAATACTGGACTGTCAAGAAGGTTGCACAACTTGGTAAATTTATTATACCTAAAGACATTACTTTTTAAGGAAAGGAATTATAAGACACAGCATCTATGCTAGATAAAAGAAGTGAGATGAAGAGTTGGCTGATGGGAAATCATCAGAGGGGCCAAGAAATTGAAATTCCTGCACTTTCATGGCACTCATTCAGGCAAAGATATTGAGATAAAGATATAGTATCAATAACTATAAGGATTGAAGATTTTGGACAGAGAATTAGTTGTTTCAGACTGTAAAAAAATTCCCAAGTAATGACATACATTGAAGGATTGCCATGAACTGGGTAGAGGAGGGGGTAAGGGATGAAAATCAATTGGTTTGAGGTCTGTCCACACAGATATTGATGTCACTCAGGCTGGAGGAAAGTTCATGAGCCAAGAGCCCAAGTGTTGAGTGAATGGGAAAAGTACCAAATAGAATGATAGATGGTACTGGTGTGCATGACTAGTGGTGATACAGTCCGGAGAAATGAGTCTCAGTGGAGCCACACAAGTGGAAAGGTGTTGATGTGAAGATAACTATTAGACAGAGAACATTATGTGGCCACTGCCCACACTGAAATCCATCTAGTGAAAGCCCAACTGAGAGGGATACAAGAGAAGCTATATCTTGGGGAATAGTGGAAGGATCCATGAATGTCAGGAGTTTGTCCAGACATCTAGTAAGCTGGAAGGATTTGTTTCACACAAAATGGGACACTTTGGAAAAGAACATTGTGGGCAGGAGTGGAAGAAAAACCAGTGAAGAGTAGAGTGTCAAAGAGTCCTGTGGGACCTTAAATGTTGGACGTGTTGCCACATTGCAGGGATATAGAGTAGGTTAGATTTAGCTGCCCATAGTCATTCAAAGACATTGGTCCTAACCTTCTCCAAAAGGGTGAGATGATGTGAGAAGAGACCAGGTCTACAGAGGGAGGCAGCAATGGTCTGGGTGGAGAGCAGTCAGGAGCCCAGATCTAGATGCATGGCTTGGAACTAGCAGGACAGACAGTAAGTGTTGACAAGTTGTGAAGTTGAAGCTGGTCCTAACTCTTTAACTGTCAGCCTCATGAGCTTGAACATGCCTTTTCATTTCTAGAAGCCTGTGTTTCTCAAATGTTATGACACACGTGCTTATCTCCTCCTACAGAGACTTTGTTGAGGAGAAGTTAGGAAGCAAATATGTAATGGGAAGAGCACTCGATTTTGTAGCCTCGTTTGAAGAGTCAGGACCAGCCACTCCCATGTTTTTCATCCTGTCTCCGGGGGTGGACCCACTGAAGGATGTGGAAAACCACGGTAAGCAAAGCTTGCTTTGGAGGCAAGGCTGCAATAGTCCACGGCCTTCCATTCTTCAGGTCTATTGCTTCCTCTTTTCTACATTCAAGGTTCACTGTGCAAAACTCTACCTTTGCAGGCCAGACAGAAGTCAGCCTTATTGCTAGAGCAAAGCCACAGCATCATGAACTAGAGAGAAGATTGGATTTCTTTTTAACCATTCTGTGTAGACCTGTGATTCATGTTGTATATAGCATGAATAAGCCATCCAATTTTGTCCTTCTGTAGATACCTTGTCTCAGAATCTCAGCTTTTGGAAAGATTGAATTTCCTGGGAACCCCTGTCAAGTGAAGTTCACCTGAAGCAGGAAAAGTGGGTCAGGTCAGCAGTTAAGAGTACTTGCTGCTTTTGCAGAGGACCTGAGTTCAGTTCCTGGCACCTACATCAGATGACTCACAAACACCTGGAATCCTAGGACCAGGGAATGTAATGCCCTATTCTGGCCTCCACAGGCACCGCGCTAACATACACTCACACAGATGCATACACATAAATAAAGATAACAATAAGTATTTTTTTAAATTGATCATAAGTATAAGTGCTTGTTTGGGGACTGTCAGTCTGTTTGGTTGATGTACGTATGATCTCTGTATGCCAACTGCAATTCTGACATTAGAACTGCATGGTAAAATTTTAAGTCAGGAAATGAGTCTGCCAACATTTTTCTGTAAGATTGATTCAGGTCTTTGTCCTCTGTTGGGTTTGCACACAACTTTTAAAATTGGCTTGTCAAGTTCTGTAAAAACTAAAGAGAAGTCCATTCAGATTTCAGCAGGGATTTCTGTGATTACCATGTAAGTCAAGTGAGGACAGGTGACTAACTTAACAACATGAAGTACTCTAACACATAAACATGGATTGGCTTTCTATGCAATTTTTAAAATTTTGTTCCTTTTTGAACAGTATTGCACAGTTTGTAGAGTGCATATCTTTCATTTGTATTCATAATATGTATATAAAATCACTTTCTTAATCTCAATTTCATTGGTGGTAAAATTTTATACATAAATTTCTGTTAGAAAAGTTGCTAAACTTGTCTGTTGGGTCTTGTGTTCTTATGATGGAGATGCTTAAGGTTTTCTAGATACTAGATTCCATACACATGCACACATACACACACACACACACCCCAACACACATATACACACATATAGATATACACACATAATATATACATGTAACACACACATACATATATACACATACATATACATGTAACGCATACACACATACATATATATACACATATATACATACATACACACATATACACATATACATACACACATACTTACACATATACATACATACACACATAAACACACATATACACACAATTTTCTAAATATAAGACTTTGTCCTCTACAAGTAGAGATAATATCTTTTACAATCTAAATGTTTTCTATTTTTTTTCTTTCCTGATTGCCCTGATAAGAATTTCAGTGTGATGTTAAAGAAAAGTGGCTAATTTAGGTATCTTTATCTTGTTCCTGGTCTTAGGAGAAGGAAGAATTTCAACCTTCCCCATTGACTATGATAGCTGTGAGTCTTTCATCATACCCAGGAAGCTGTTTCTATTTCTTGTTACAGCTTTTCTTTAATTGTGAAAACATGTTAGATTTTGTCAAATGTTTGATCTTCTTCTAGTGAGGTGATAATGCAGGTTATTTTTCTTCAGTGTATGAATACAACATGTTACATTGCTTGCTTGTTTAATTAAACCAACCTTGCCTTCTAAGGATCTCAGAATGATCCTACTATTTAATTCATTTTCTACATTACTAGATTCAGTTTGCCTGTATTTTGTTAAAGGATATTGGTGAGTAGCTTCATCAAGGATATAGGCCTACCTTTTTCTTAAACTTTGTCTCATTTTAGTTACAGAATAATACTAGGAATCTATTCATTTGACTAAATTTGGAAGTATTCCTTCCTCTTGTTTTGGTGTGTGTGTGTGTGTGTGTGTGTGTGTGTGTGTGTGTGTGTGTGTGTGTGTGTAGATTTTGTGAAGGATTGGTGGGTTCATCACATTTTCATCATCACAACAAAATACTTGAGGCAGCTAACGTCATTAAGAAAAAAAGGTGTACTGATTTTTGAGGTGGAAAGTCCAAACAGAACAGTGTAGGCTCTGGTGAAAGCCCATGATGGAGTCCTGGATCATAAATGGGAGAATCACAGACACAGGCATTGAAGAAGAAAGGAGAGGCCAGGCTTGCTGGAGGTATGACAGTCTTCTCAGAGAGCTCAAGGGTGGACCCCTCAATGACCCAAGGACCTCTCACTATGTCCCACCTCTTAAAAGTTCCACAGCACCTCCTAATAATGCCACTCTGGATATCAGGCCTCCAGTCACTTAGACCCTGGGGAAATACCCAAATGATGGGACCTGGCTTCCATTTCTATGAATGTTCGGGAGAACTCAGTGAGGAAGCCACTGAGCTTGGGCTTTTCTAGACAGGAAGTTCTAAAATTAAAAGTTAAGTCTCCTTGCCATGTTATGCCTAGTCTAAGTTTCAGTTTCTCACTGAGTAAGTTTCAGTACTTTATTTCTTTCAGGCCCTTGGTCACGTCATCAAAGTCATGTAATTTGTTGGTAAACAAACACATCTCTAATGATATCTGTATTAAAATGTTCAGTTCCTCTATGGTATATATATATATATATATATATATTAACTAGTCTAAAACTTAGTTGTGTGTGTGTGTGTGTGTGTGTGTGTGTGTGTGTGTGTGTGCAGGTATGTGTCCATGTGAGTGCATGTATGTGTGCAGGTCAGAGGTCAACCAACCTCAGATGTCATTTCTCATGAGCCATCCATCTTATTTTTTTTAAGACAGGATCTCTGTGTTGTATGAGAATGGCCCCTACAGTCTCATGTGTCTGAATACTTGGTCCCCAGTTGGTAGGACTGTTTGAGAAGGATTAGGAGGTGAGGCCGAGAAGGAGGAGGAGGTGTGTCACTGGGAGTGAGCTTTGGAGTCTCAAAAGACTTGTGCCATTTCTTATGTACTCTGCCATTCCTAGTGTGTTCTCTACCTCCTGTTTGTGAACCAAGATATGAGTCCTCAGCGGCTGCCATGTCTTCATTCCATTATCATGGACTCTAACCCTCTGGATCTGTCAGCCCAATTAAACTCATTCTTTGATAAGTTGCCGTGGTCATGGTGTCTTATCCCAGCAATAGAAAAAAAAAAAGACCAACATAGTCTGTCATTGGCCTGAAGTTCACCAAATAAGCTAGGCTGGCTGGTCAGTGGGCCCCAGAGATCGAACTATCTCTGCCTTACCAGCAGTAGGATTACAAACATGTTTATGTAGACTCTAGGAATTGAACTCAGGTCCTCAAGCTTGCATGGCAAGCATTTAACCAACTAAGCCATCTCCTCAGCCCCAAAGAAATATTTTGCTCCACAAATTCTAGATAATTCTTCTTGGCTTCCCTCTATACAAGCTAAGGCTTCCATTTTTTCAACTATGAAGCTGTGATTTTGTTTTTCCATAATCAAGGCCAAGTGTATGGTCATTTTCCTCTGTTCCTATCATTAATTCTACACATGCCTGTTCTATTGTGTTCACATTTAAACTTGAAAATAATAAATAGCCCTATCCTAGTTAATAGAAAAGTCCTCCTCTGAGACAAACAGTGAGACACATGCACATGATGTTGGGGAGTGGACATATGGGCCACTGACAAATGTGGACGTCAAAGGACAACTTCATGGAGTGGGTGGAGTTGAAGCCATCTCACTGGCCCACTGACTTAGAGTTTCTATTCCTGTGTTAGAACGCCATAATGAAAAGCAACTTTGGTAGGGAAAGGTTTATTTTGCTTACTCTTCCATGTCACAGTTGATCATCAAAGGTAGTCCAAAAGGGCAGGAACCTGGAGACAGGAGCTGAAGCAGAGGCTATGGAGGAATGCTGCTTACTGGCTTGTTCCACATGCCTTGCTCAGCCTGCTTTCATATACCAGGACACCACCCGCTATGGGATGCCCACTCACATCTATCATCAATCAGGAATATGCAGACTTCTCCATAGGCAATCTGATGGGGGCATTCCCTCAACTGAGGTTCCATCTTCCAAAATGACTGAAGCCTGTGTTATGTTGACTTAAAAACTAGCCAGCACACTCATATTCTCTGGTTTTTGGTTCAACGTTATGATCTCTAGATATCCTCAGAAGGAATATTTTACAGGCGTTTAAACCCATGTGAAGGTCTACTTTGTTTCATATGTAAATGGAGTTTTTCTTTGAGAGCTTCCAGTTTTTCCTGGAGTTGCAAATTCCCTTGAGAAAAGAAATAAATATCATTTATAATTATCACTAGCTTCATGCTCATTCTATGTATTGAAAGGCATTCTCTTTTTCTCTAGAAGGCATTCTTACTAGAGTCATTAGCATCTTCTTACAATATGAATGAATTCTATTTTAGCTTTCTAGGAAGCTGATATCCCTGGGTTTATTTTCTTGACATTCTACCTTAATTATATATATTTTAATCCTACTTATTTCTTATTTCCCATCTTCATTTTGCTGGCACACATCATCAGGAAAGAACGCTAGGAAATAACATTTCTGAATGCTTGCTCGACCCCAGATTTCGTGGATAATTTTTCTGGGTACCAAATGATTTCTACTTAGAACTTTGGTTACATGTATCTGCTGTATTCTAGAAGCTGATTTTGTCTGTGGGTTTCTCAATTGGTGCCCCCTTCTTATCCCCTGGGACTTTGGAATCATCTGCTCTGTGTTCCATTCTCTCATGAGCTGTGTCTACCTGTGGGTCCTTTTCACTCATCTGCTCAGCTCAAAAGAGGCTGTCTGTCCAAGGGAGAGTCACATCTTTCTCTAGCTTCACTCTGTTACTTTTGGTGAATGCCACCATTAGTTACCAAGAAGGAATAGGTCATCTTAAATAGCCCTTCCCTAGCTCTATCAAACTGTCTCGATTT